GGATTTATTGATAACTATTGATTTTCTACACCGAAGCAAGTTTTGTGTTTGGCATTGCTTTTCTTGAGCCAACGTGGTATAGGAGTTTGACTGTTGGACTACATACCAGGGTCTGAATCCCTGCTTGACCATGGAAACCCAATAGGTCACCTTGGGGAAGTCATATTCTCAGCCTTAAGTGAAGGCAAAGGCAAACTGAACAAATTTTGTTAATTTATTAGGGTTGTCATAAGGCGGAAATTACTGGAAACAACAACATTCTTTTTTCCTCCTCCTGTAATGTTATTGAGTTTAGTGCCACTAAATCTTGAGTAAATATTCAATTTCCGATATAAAGTAGAACCCTACCCAATCAGCATTTATTTATCTCTATATCATATACTTACTTAATTACTTAGGCAATCCCTCATTGTCAGAGTATGATGACCTTCCAAGTGTAGCATCTTGGTGGTGGGTCCTTAGGTGACTGGGGAGCCCTATTCTTGACCTGCATGTTCTCCTGCAGTGAGGGCATCTGCTTCCAGGTGGAAGGTGGTCCCGGTCAGGGTTGGCTTGACATGCCTTCCTCTTGGCATGTTTCACCCTTTTGCCCTCCATTCATGCCTCTTTGAATTCCACAGCACTGCTGGTCACAGCTGACATTCAGTTAAAGCGCTCAAGGGCCAGGGTTTCCCAGTTCTCAGTGCCTATGCCATCGTTTTCAAAGTTAACTTTAAGTCCATCTTTAAATCTGTTTTCCTGTCCACCAACATTCCATTTTCTGTTCTTGAGTTGAGAGTATAGTAACAGCTTTGGGAGATGGTGATCGGGCATTCAGACAAGTGACCAGTCCAGCAGAGTTGATGGCGTAGGACTTCAATGGTGGTGGTCTTTGCATCTTCCAGCACACTGACATTTGTCTACCTGTCTTCCCAAGAGATTTGTTGGATTTTTTTTGGAGGCAACACTGATGGAATCATTCCAGGAGTTGAGTGTGACATCTGTAAACAGTCTGTGTTTTGCAGATATATAACAGGGTTGGGAGGACAATAGTTTTTATAAACAACTATTTTCATATCCCTATGGATGTCTCAATCCTCAAACACTCTCTGCTTCATTTGGAAAAATGCTACACTCCCAGAGCTGAGGCAGTGTTGTATTTCAGTGTCAGTGTTGACTTTTGTGGAGAGGTAGCTGCCAAGGTAGCAGAAATATAATATATTTCTATGTATATAGCATACATTTATATTATCAGGAATAGAGATTATGAAGACCATTAAAATTTCTGCTGTACACTTTTGAAAGTCATACCTGGACATCTTGTTTAAAACTTATTTCATAATTGAATTTTTTTTCCGTAAGCAGCATGAGCTAGAATAGCAATGGGCAATGTGCAGTTCTCCAGATATTGTGGGACTTCAATTCCCAAATGTACTAGGTAGTTCTTTTGAAAATTGTAGTGAAAAGCTACATAGTTCCTAGGAGCATGCTTTTTAAAGAAATGAAGGGTAAGATCCCAAGTTCTGAACTTTAAACCGTATTTCTAATACCATGTTTTGTTTTGTTTTCCATTTCCTGAGACAGATGTAAAAGGGACACAGCACTGACTGTACAACTGGTTTTCTTTCAGCATAATTATGGATATTTTTTCAGGTGGGAGGCATAAAGTAGAAATACAAATTGGATACTTAACCACAGCCAGTCTTTGAAACTCCCATACTTTAGGTCTTGTAGTATGCTCTGTACTGTATTGCTATTTTAATGGAAATTGCTAATCCTTTGAAAGAATATCTGATAACCTTTAAAATAAGTATACCAGTTGCGATGTTATTTTCCAACTTCTGGTTTTTATATAACCAAAAACAGCACAGTTCCAGCCAAGAGGATATCAGTAGCATTGGATGAATCTTAAGATTTACAAACTTTCTTTTTTAAGAAAAGGGTAAAGAACCCAATTCCCCCAATAAGTTCACCAAAGAGTAACTGTGCTCGGTGGTCACAAAACATGCCATGCCTTGGGGTGGAAATTAGGGAAGGAAAATAGAATGAAACATCCATTCAGAAATGGAATGAATAGGTATAGCTGGCTGGAACATTGAATGGGCATTTTTGTTGGATGTCCTAACTGCTAAACATAGAATTTCATTTATTTTATAATGTTTTAAGTTTATGGAGTTTCTTCCCCAATGAGCAGCTTTTGATTACCATTATCAGTTCACAAAAAATAGTCAGTTTGCCATGTCAGCTAAATTATTTTCTGTCACTTCTTTTCAGTGTAGGTAGCATTGTTTGATTTGATTGCAGTCTGCCACAAGTTTTGCTTGCTTAATGCCTTCACAGTCCCATGCTGGCTTTTGAAAATGACAATTTTAACAACATTTTCCCTTGTTAAATATAAAGATAAACCCAAGAGTGCTAATTCTGAAAAGAAAAGAAATGTGCTCACGTGTTGTTTAGTGTTAATGATATAATAGTCTTGGAACCTGACGCTACAGTTCCAATCTAGAGGTAGGAAGACATTCATGTCTCTTTATTATTATTGTGTGATTACTTCATTACTATTGTGTTTCAATTGTTTGAAAGTTATATGTGTGATATGAGACTTTTATGTTTGTTTAAGACTGAAAATCATACACACAAACATAAGAAAGCAACTGGTATTTAGGGCAAACATATTATGTCTACATCATTGGATCAAGTTTCAACATAAAAGAGAAAACAAGTTTTGTGAGATTTTACCAGCCCAGGTGTTGGTATTTCACTCATTTGGGAAAATAGAATTATAGTGGTAAATAAAAACTCCAAATGGCAGAAAATAGAGGCTGGGTAAATTCCATTGTATATTCTGTGAGAGGGAAACGGATGTCACTTGCCACTGTTGTTTATGGTATTTTGATTCCAAGGAGTGCATTATGCCTCTGTAAGGTCAGACAAAAAGTTGACCATAAAGACAGTTAAAAGACTAGAACATTAAGATCATCTGGGGAGGCCCTGCTCTCGATCCCGCCTGCGTCACAGGTGCGCTTGGCGGGGACGAGAGACAGGGCCTTCTCAGTGGTGGCCCCTCGGCTATGGAATGCCTTGCCAGCAGACATCAGACAGGCACCTTCGTTGCTGACGTTTCGGAGAATGGTCAAGACCTGGCTTTACGAACAAGCGTTTGGTTAGGCAATGCAACTAATTAAGGAAGACGGTAATTGAACATAGGAACGGCACAATGACTATGAGAATGGATCTGACTTTAATCGGAGGCGTTATATATGTTCTCTCAGTTCTTGTGGGTTTTTTCGGGCTATATGGCCATGTTCTAGAGGCATTTCTCCTGACGTTTCGCCTGCATCTATGGCAAGCTTCCTCAGAGGTGAGGTTATATATGTTGTTTGTTGATTTGTCTTGTCTGATGTTAATTGTTGTGGAGCGACGTTGTCGTCCCTGTTGTTGTACTGCTGTGTTTTAATTGCACTGTAAACCGCATTGAGTCGCCTGTCAAGGGCTGAAAAATGCAGTATAAAAGTGAAGCAAATAAATAAATAAATAAATAAAAGCTTTTTTGGTGGTTCCTCCCCCCCCCCCCCAAAAAAAAAAGAAAGCTAAATCTGTGAGCATAGTGTCAATGGTTACCCTTTGCTGTGCATGTGGGAACTTGCAGAGAAGCAAAGGGACAGCAAGAGTACAGCTCTGTGAGTTTTGGGTGCCCAAGGCGATGCCTCTGAATTGATGCCTCTTTGGGGTCCTGCCCTCCAATGCCTCCTCCTCAGTGACATTCAAGGTGGGGCAAACACTGCTGTCTCCCATAAGATGGTTCTGCCTTCTGCTTTGTGACAAGGAAATGCAAAAAATAGGGGGGGGGGGGGGTTGGTTTGAATTTCTTTACAACTTTATAATTCTTCCTCATGTGACCTCGGCTTACTCTGAAAAGATGGGTGTATGCTCTCTTGTCTAATTTTATGATGTTTAAGAAATCTGGATAATTTAAGTTGTTTCCTGGATCATTGAGATAACTCCCCATGCCTTCTCCATGCATGTAACCAACTTTTGTATACTATTGAGAAATATAGGAAACATTAGTTTTTTAGACTATAGCTACTTCTTCCCCAAATCTCGTAATCGTTTAGACATTCTGCAAATTGTAGACCAAAAAGGTCACATTTTGAAATTCATTTGATTTGTCATCATTTATCATCATGTTATCATCATGGAGCCCCTGGTGGTACAGCAGGTTAAACTGCAGAGCCACTGACCTTGCTGATCAAAAGGTCAGCGGTTTAAATCTGGGGAGCAGAATGAGCTCCTGCTGTTAGCCCCAGCTTCTGCCAACCTAGCAGTTCGAAAACATGCAAATGTGAGTAGATTTATAGGTACCACTTCAGTGGGAAGGTAACACACTCCACATAGTCATGCTGGCCACATGACCTTGAAGACATCTACAGACAACGCTAGTTCTCCAGCTTAGAAATGGAGATGAGCAACCCCCCCCCTTCCCCCAGAGTTGGACACGACTAGACTGAATGTCAAGTCAAATGTCAAAACCTTTATCTTTTACCATCAAGTTGACTTCAATTTATGATGACCTTGCCCTGCTCAATTTTGTAAACTCAGGGCCATGCCTTTCTAAATATTCGATGGATACCTTATCAAGATTTTCATAGATTTAAGTTATTTTAACTCTTGGTGACTTTTAAGCTGCAAACACATTTCATTGTTGTTGAATTTTTCATTTTATGCTTTGATGTAAGTTGCTCTGAGCTGCTTGTTATAGGACAGTGTACAGACATCATAAACAATTGAAAATCCAGTATCAGAATATCCTTAGCTCTAGTGAAATGCAAGCCACTCATACTTAGGAATTTTAAAGACATCTTTTATTTATATATGAGATGGTAAGTTCCAGTGTATTGCTCTTAAGTCATAAAAATTGATTTTGTGCTTTAATGCAATAAGTATTCAATTGAAATAAAAAACTGAAATGTGTGAATTGTTCTTTAAATTATATAAATAAAGCATGTTTTGTATATTTCTAGATCTACTACAGACAAGTTGAAGGTATATTGCATAAAATCAAAATGAATTCGGTAAGTTAACCTTTTAATGAATATGTTTTAATTTATGCTTATTGAAATTGAATGTTCTGCCTATGTCTTTCAGTTATAAAAGTAAGATCAAAAGTGCAATCACCATGAAAAATAAGCAGAAAACCAAAAAGGAAATCCTGAAGGGATATGTATCATGACCCAAAGCTGTGTCAGCATTGAGAGGAGTTCTTTTCATTATAATGAATATTAGAATTTAGAAAGCACTTAGTAAATTTTAGCGCTACATAAGCAAAAATCTAAGGAAGAGATTTAATACCAGGTTTAGCTTTCCCTAACCTAGTACTCTCCAGAGTTGCTGGATGGCAGGGCCATAGCCAGAAAAAAAATTCGGGAAGGGTTTAAAATTTCGGGGAGGATTTAAAATTTCCCGGGGGGGGGGTGTTAGGGTCACCCTGAAGCAAAGAGCACAGCAGAGGGCAGAGCAGCCTTTAATAGCCTGCAGCTCCGCCCCTGTCAACCACTTCCACCAAGTCTGGCCTCCTTAATGAGAGCATTCAACCCCCCCCCCCCCCCCCCCCCCCCGGCTACAGGCCTGCTGGATGGCAACTCATACATTTCTATTTCATAGGCTTTGGATGATCAAACCTCACAAGGTATAATTTTGTTCTTTATCAAAACATATTTCAATTTGATGTCACTCCTAAATAAGGTCCAGATCATGAAGAGATCATCATTGCTGTGTTTGGAAGGCAGGGTGAGATGTATCCTAAGTGATGGACCTATTTCTAAGTGGTCCCAATTGGGGGAGCCATTCTATTGATCCGGTTGACTCAGGGACAACTTTAGTTCTCTGGGAAAAGGTCACAGGTCCTTAGGCCAGGACATGGAAGATCTATTCTTCTCCTGCCACATTTCCTATATATATTAATTATAAGTCTAAAAAAAAACCTGGCTTATCCACAGGTCAGTGTAAGTACTGTATCTTAACACACACACACAGTATTGGCCTCCTTCTCTGAGTAGAGGATAAAAGATGAGAGTTTAGACCAGAGATCCTCAAACATTTTAAGTGGGGGGCGGGGGGGGGGGGTTCATAATTCCTCAGTCTTTTGGGAGACAAACTATAGTTTGAAAAAAAAAGATTCCTATAAACTTCACATATCTTATCTATAATAAAAAATAATGAAAGACAAAATAATACTTTAAATGGAGAACAATTTTCACCAACATAAACTTGCCCATCTTTCAGTGGGAAGTGTGGGCCTACTTTTGGATGATGAAATAGTCAAGTTAGAATAGTTGTTGTGTGCCTTCAAGTAATTTCAGACTTAAGGTAAACCTAAGTCTAAAGTTTAGGGCAGGGCCAGGTAATGACCTTGGAGGGCTGAATCTGGCCCACGGGCCTTAGTTTGAGGACTCCTGGTTTAGACCATCCTGAGAACTGGTGCCTGTGTTGCTTTCTTGAGATAGTTTCACAATTTTGTAATAATACCTCTTCACATTATTTTCATATGTTTGTTTTTAGAGGCCACCACCATATTATGAAAACTATGCCTATCAGCCAGAAAACATTGCTCCTCCAAGGCATGCCGGTGATTACATGTATCCACCTTACCCGTCTCCATATTATCCTTCATCAGTGCCACATTATATTCCAAGGGTTTCCACTAATCATTCAACTCCAGTGCCAACAGTAGTACAGCCAAAGATTACACCTGCAAAATGCATGCCAAGTAAGCTACGTTTCCAATTGTTTAAAATCAAGAATAAAATTAAAAAAGGAATGCTTTTAAAAAAATGTACTCATGCTGTCATTCAATCAATTAAAAAGCCTTCTGCAGTTATTCAGATGTGACCCTATTATTTCAGTTTGTGCCTAGACAAAAGATTGTATAAGATGAGGGATTAATACTCTCTAGCTGTCGTTTAGGACCTCATCACATGAGCTGAGGGAAAATGGGGGAAAGCGTGGAACAGTAGAGGGAACGGTCTTACTCTGTTCTCTCCTGTTAAGATCTGCCTTCTGCCATCCCATGTCCTTTCCTCATAGAGGTCTGTCTTTCCCCCGCTTTGTGCCATTTGGAGTGAGGCAACACCTGACTCCTCAAAAGGCACTCTGGGCTCCATTTCTGTACACTCTGGGCTCCGAGTCCCGCCAGAAGTTTCCTTGCATCATGTGATGGGCTCCATGGGACTCTGTTTTGGTGGTGTAGAACAAAGAGCAAGAAGACTATGTCTAATATGGTCATTACTTTTCTCCCCTAATGAGGGTGGGGTGATTGTGTGAGTGGTGCTTCCTAGAGGATGTTAGCAGGGCATACCATACAGCATATCGCAGAAGAAAACTGAGGTACTTATGGGTGGACAATATCTGAGTGTGGGCAGTGTAGCAGAAGTTATTAACAGGGAAAAACACATGTTAGGAGAGGCTGCAGCAGTTTACTTTTGCCCAGGTCTACTAGGAAGGACAAGATTTTGGCCTCTCCTCTCTGCTAATTTATGGAGTGCCAACTACTTTTGACCTTTGACTTATATTTGAAAGCACCACAAAATACTTGGGACTGTCCCTGTGAAGTCAGGACAGCTAGAGGGTCTTCCTTTAAAGACCATTTTGCATGTGAGATGTTTAACTGAAGGATTTTAAAGAAGTATCCAAAGGTTTGACTGTCCAAACTCAAAAATGTGGTTGTGAAGGCCTTTATCATGCCCTTGCTTGTTTGGCCTATAGAGAGCCAAGATTGTGACTGTCACTCTTTGTTGTTCCAGAGCAGACAAAGCTGGAGGTGATATTCGCAGTTCAACCTCTGTATTTGTCAGTTTGCCCTCTGACACCTCTAGATGTTATACCAATCAGCAAATGATACTCAAAATTTTCCTTACAACCTTGGAGCTGAGTAGAGATAATGATTTCTGGTAAAGTTAATAGGCGTCTCCAAGAGAAGCCTGGTGCCCTTTAATATGTTACCAGGGAAGACGCCTTGGCATGGCTACTGTGAGATGCAAAAATATGAAATCCTGTCTTTAAAGATGTGGTCAGTAATTAAATTTTATTGGCCATGGCGGTTCCACAATAGGCATTTTCTAGTCTGACAAGACTTTATGCGCAATATATCTAGATATTTTCTCTTTATTATTACAGAAGCCAGGAAAGCTGTGTGTCTCTTTCTAGCAATTTCAATACTACTAATAGGAGCTGCAATTGCTGCTGTTCTCATCTGGCATTTTGGTAAGCGTTCATCTGTATCCTCAAGAAACTGAGTTTGAGGATATTCCCCCTTATTTGCTTTCCAAAACCCAAGTAGCATTTCCTCCCTTTTTTGGTAACTGTGGTGTTCTTAAATTATGTTCTGCTTTAATGTGGTCAGTTCTTTAGTATCAGATGCCATAGCTTTGACCTCTCTTTAATGGATTTTTGGGTGTGATTCTAGTGGTAACACAATAGTAATTTGAAAGAAATATTTTTACTTTATTGGAGATCTATTTATGGTGTTCATTGACAAAATGTGCTTTGTGTACCATCTAGAAGCAAATCCACTAAAGGCCTTTTCACATTGCATAGTTATGGCACTATGATTCTACTTTAGCGGAATCCTATTGAATCATAGGGGTTTTAGGTTGTTGTGTTGTGTACCTTTAGGTCATTTTGAATTTATGGCAAAACTAAAGCAGAAACTTCCCAACCAGAGAGCAACGGCATCTCATCAGACTACATATCTCATGATTTTAATAGGGTACAGCCATGGCGGTTAAAGGGTAATTCTAACTCCGTAAACTGTGCTGTGTGAAAAGACCACAGGTGTCCTCTTACATCTTCATGCTATCTGAGAATGATGCATGCTTGCTTGATAGTGTGACCTGGCTATGGGTAAGCTGCACAGAGGCTGTGAGATGCTCGAAATAGTTAAAAAGTATTCACTTAAGGAAGTAAGCATTTACATAGCATTAAAGTAATAAATAAAAGTTTAGTACATACCATCAAAGCATGAAAATAGAAAATCAGGTCACAGACATTGATTTCATTAAAAAATCTAAAGTGGCATGGTACAATGGCTTGAATGTTGGTCTACGACCAGGCCTTGAATCCTTGCTCAGCCATGAAAATCCATTGGGTGACCTTTGACAAGTAGCACTCTTTCAAGGCAAAGTCAGAAGCCTTCTGAACAAAGAAAGCCGGGTGATAGGGTAACTTTAGGCTCACCATAAATGACTGGAGGGCACACAATAACAAGAAAATGCATACATCCCTTACATATTCTAAAAGGCATTCTGTTGCTTTCATGTGTTAAGACTAAAGAATGAAACACCTCTCTCAGGACAAAAGGTGTGAAACAGCAGGAAGCCATTACACATGAAATCTCCTAGCCTGGGGCAATGTTTAGTTTAACAGCAATTTCTTAGGCAAAGAAACCCTTTGAACCCCTTGGCTCTGCCTTTGAGGAAGATGGAGTAACATTTTGGGGCATGGGCTAAATACTGTTCTTTACTGGCCAGCAATAGACCCATCAATCAAGAATGACTGTTTAAAGACGAAATTGACTTCTCACATTGATAATTTTAATCACATCAGTTATCACACTTGGGGAATTGAATAGGTAAAGGTAAAGGTTTTCCCCTGACATTTAATCCAGTCGTGTCCAACTCTGGGGTGTGGTGTTCATCTCCATTTCTAAGCCGAAGAGCCGATGTTGTCGTCCGTAGACACCTCCAAGGCCATGAGGCTGGCATGACTGCATGGAGTGCCATTACCTTCCCGCCGGAGCGGTACCTATTGATCTAATCACATTTGCATGTTTTCGAACTGCTAGGTTGGCAGAAGCTGGGGCTGACAGCGGAAGCTCATGCCGCTCTCCGGATTCGAACCTGTGACCTTTCGGTCAACAAGTTCAGCAGCTCAGCGCTTTAACCAACTGTGCCACCAGGGGCTCCTTGGGGAATTGAATACTCCATCAATATGTAAGAAAATAAAGGACAACATAATAATAATAATAATAATAATAATAATAATAATAATAATAACCTGCCCTTTCTCCCTGAAGGGACTCAGTGCGGCATACAAAGACAAAAACAAAATAGAAATAAACAGCAGTAAAAAAAACAATTAAAACAAGCAATTAAAAATTCACATACAAAGAAAAACTTGGTGACTGTGTTTCATAAATTATGCTATATTATACAGGATGGTATTGTGCCTTTTCTAAATATAAAGGTCAGGGTTTTTTTTCATGTCAGGAGTGACTTGAGAAACTGCAAGTCACTTCTGGTGTGAGAGTATTCGCTGTCTGCAAAGACATTGCCCAGGGGATGCCCGGATGTTTTACCATCCTGTGGGAGGTTTCTCTCATGTCCCCACATGAAAAGCTGGAGCTGTCAGACAGGAGCTCACCCCGCTCCCTGGATTCAAACTGCCAACCTTTTGGTCAGCAGTCCTACAGGCACATGGGTTTAACCCATTGAGCCACCGAGGCTCATAAATGTCAGTGATCATTATATCCTATTAAGTACACTCATGTTTTGTTGTACAAAGGATATGATGCATATTTTGGGCTGCTGAAAACAACTGACTTAAAACCCAAGAGACTTGATAGTACTGGAAAACTTAATGAATTTAAAGTCAATATATGATGTCAATGAAGATAAAATATTGAACACGGTTTTGGTTTTGAATGTGTATTTCCACGTTTTGCTTGTTTTGTAGCTTTGTTTGGAAACCTCCTTGGGTTTCTAAATGTGTTTTATCTTTTTGCAGTGACCGACAGCTGTTTTGGCTCCAAGATAAAATGTGGTACAACAGGAATGTGTGTGGCACCATCTCAGTGGTGTGATGGAATACGTGATTGCCCTAATAATGAAGATGAAACCCGTTGTGGTAAATATACACCATCAATTTTATTTGTATCTAAAATTAGTTATCTGCATGGTGTCAAATTAAACTGTGGAAGGCCACTACACTAATCTGAATAGTTTAAAAAGGATGATTGGTCAGATTCCTGAAAAACATTAGACATGAGAGAGATATAAACCCTCCAAGACTAGAAGTAGTATGGCTTTGTGACTTGCTTGCTGGGGAGTGCAGTATGTGAGTGTGTGCCTGCATTGTTGTACTCAGCCGTTGTTACATCTTTATGGAAATCCCATTTGTCTCTGACGAACGGTCAAACAATTAGATAAATTAATCATTGTCCTTTGGTCAACACTGAACAACAACAATGAGCCCCTTAGATTAGGCTGTGCTGGAAATTTTTGTTGAAGTAGAAAGCAGCACCTGATTTTGAAGTCTTTCTTTGATTCAATGAATGTCAATTTAGTGCTAACCTAACCCGTTTTGCAGACTCTCATTAAAGGTGAAAGAAAATCTGCACACAATCCTCTTAAGTTAGAAGATACCAGAGTTGGTTAATCCAGGATTCCATTTTTTATTACGAACTAGAATTTGGATGAGGATACTTTATTTGGAACATTTTAAAGATTTTATCAAGTAGTTTCTTACCTGACTCCTTGATAATAAAGTCTGAGAAGGTATCTTTTAACATACATGATCCTTACATCTTCTGAGCTTGTAGGCTTCCTAAAGTACCTTATGAAATAACTTTCCAGAAAGAGCAGGTAATAAAGTTTTAGCAATTGCATTCATTTAAATAAAGAGCTAGTATGTGGGGATGTTATATTATGAATCTTGAGATCAGGGTGTGAATCGCTGTCCAGCCATTGAAACCTGCCAGGTGACCTTGAGCAAATCACACACTCTCAGCCCTGTGATTGGTTCACTTTAGGGCAGTGGTTCTCAATCTGTGGGTCCCCAGCTGGTAAACTGGGTGGGATTTCTGGGAGTTGTAGGCCAAAACACCTGGGAGCCCACAGGTTGAGAACAACTGCTTTAGTCACCATAACTCAGAAACAATTTGAAGGCACACAACAACAGTTAACCATCTTTGCTTTGTGGATAGACAAGTTTCTGTTCATTTTGTTTTCAAACAGTCTAGAGAGACTGTAGGTCTTTTTTCCTGGTTTCTTTCTGTAAATTATTTGCCTTAAAAGAACTTATCTCTACATGAAGATATGCATCCATAGAAAGTTCCTTCTGATGCAAATACTACTGTCTTTACTATTCTACTGTTTTCTTACTTATTTTCTGGCAGCACTTGTCTTCTTTTGACATGAAAGAAGATGAATGTTTCAGAAACTTCTTTATTTGTGCTTCCCTCCAAAAGCTAGGAAGTGCTAGAAGATGATCGGCAAATTGTTGTCCTGCAAGGAGAACAGGCTTTATGGGTGGAACAGGTGACTTATTATAGATGCACACACATGTGTTGTATAGATTAGCCCCTGTTGTTGTTGTTTGCTCTGTCATTTCCAACACTTTGTGCCTTCATGGACGAGCCCACGCCAGAGCTCCCTGTTGGCCGTCACCACCCCCAGTTCCTTCAAGGTCAAGCCAGTCACTTCAAGAATACCATCCATCCATTTTGCCCTCAATAAGCCCCTCTTCCTTTTTCCTTCCATTTTCCCCAGTATCATTATCTTCCCCTAGCTTTCCTGTCTTCTCATTAAGTGGCCAAAGTACTTCATCTTTGCCTCTAATATCCTTCTCTCCAGTGAGCAGTTGGGCTTTATTTCCTGGAGTATGGACTGGTTTGATCTTCTTGCGGTCCAAGGCACTCTCAGAATTTTCCTCCAATACCACAGTTCAATAGCGTCTATCTTCCTTCACTCCACCTTTTTTATGGTCCGGCTCTCACATCCATAGGTTACTACAGGGAATACTTTAACTATGCGGATCTTCGTAGCCAGTGTGATGTCTCTACTCTTCACTATTTTATCGAGATTGGTCATTACTCTTCTCCCAAGAAGTAAATGTCTTCTAATTTCCTGGCTGCAGTCTGCATCTGCAGTAGTCTTTGCACCTAAAAATACAAGATCTGTCACTGCCTCCAGGTTTTCTCCCTCTATTTGCCAGTTATCAATCAGTCTGGTTGCCAGAATCTTGGTTGTTTTTTTTAAATGTTTAACTGCAACCCAGCTTTTGCACTTTCTTCTTTCACCTTGGTTAGAAAATTAGCCCTGAGCATCATATATTAATAATGTGTCCTTTTTTCATCACAGTGAGACTTTTTGGACCAGAATTTCAACTGGAGGTCTATTCTTCTCAAAGCAAAGATTGGTACCCTGTATGCTCTGATGACTGGAATGATAAACATGGGAAGACAGCCTGTGAAGATCTGGGATATAACTCGTAAGCATTATTATATTTTTAAAAAGAAAGACAGTAAAAAAATCTTTTTAAAAATTGTGACAAACTATATTTGATGTTTGATTTGTTTTTTTACATAAATATGTATGCAAATAAAGTTGGGGCAAAAAATACTAGCCCTGTTTAGGATTATAGCCCTGTTAATATATTGCAACAACATTCAGAGTTTGACTCACATTCTCCTGCTGGTGTGTGACAGTAATCAGCCCTGTTACAGCAAAAGCAAACAGGGGCAGCTTAAGTAATTTAGGAAAAAAATGTATTTACAGGAATCCCTGAGTTACAAACATCCAACTTGCATACGGCTCATACTCAAGAAAAGGGATGAGACAACAAAACATGAGAGAGATCTACCCCTAGGAAACAAAACTCACTCCCATAAGATTTATCATGAGAAAAATGTATCTCCATTGAAGTTTTAGCACCAATCTTTGTTTCCACAACATACCAAATTTTAAAAATTCAATTGTTACAGGGACAGAAACTGAGGTGAAATCTTCTGAGGGGCACAGGCAGCAAAATAGACATCACAAGGATCTTAACCCCTCCCTATGCTATCCAAAACTACATGAACCTATCTTGTCTGTAACTTGGAGGGTGCCATTCAATGTACAATCGCCAAATAGTTGATGAATATGGGCAATATGAAAGCATCCACCACCATCTGAAGTCGGTTGATTCATAGGGCAAACTTCAAGGTCCACAGATATCCTCTCCCAACATTGGATGAGCTCACAACTTGAGAAAACTGCTTTAGCAAGTTCTGCTCTTCCCAACTATAACTACTATGGAATGTAGCTATCTGAAGAAGAGAGTGTGAGAGTGAGATGTAAACTTTTTACAAAACATTCTAAGGCATTTCAGCCAATTCACAAGTTGCTTACGTTAATATAATCCTGTTTGTGTAACAGATGGCACCAAACTGCTGCACGGCCATCAAATAGGTGGAATTGTTTTCTGTAGAGGCTCTAGTAGCACTATCAGAACACATTTAATGTTCCATCTTACTTGGTCTGCTAGGGATAATTTCCCTTGTGTCAATCACATGCTTTATTACATTTTGAATGAAAGACTATAGCAGTGATAGTATTGAAGGTGTTGGAATGAATGAATCCTTTGTCCTAACTGTTTGCAGGATCTTTTAGATGCATTAATGGTGTATCTTGGGAATTTCAACTTCCCCTTTCTCTACCTATTTTCACGTAATGAGGCTCTCAGATTCATTATGATATACAGCTTGAATATCCCTTATCTCAAATCCTCAGGACCAAAAGTATTTTGGATTTCAGATATTTTTAAAGGTTTTGGAATTCCTGTATTTGTTGATATGTATTTAATGTGGTATCTTAGAGATGGGTCTAAGTATTAACCTGAAATTAACGTATATTTCATATATACAGTCTAAACACAATTGATTTTACAATTTTGTGCATGAAACAGTTTGTGCTATATTGAATCTTCAGAAAGCAATTCAGCCACCCATGTAGATGTGTTTGGGGTTTTGAGCATTTTGAAATCTCAGACAAGGATGCTCAACACCTGTACAACTCTCACATGCTAGTAATACTTCTATCTGCAGTGACTAATGACAGTAAAGAGAATAGTTAGTAAATAGCTGCACTGTTAATCTGTTATTTGACTGACATTTGATTCTTTCTTTCCCTTTTGGAGTAGTGAATAATTAGAATTTGACTGCATTTACTTGACTGTTGACTTTTGTCTTTGGCAGGAATACATATTTCAAGAGCCAGACAATACCGCTTATTAGTGCATCTAAAGGCTTTATGAAGCTGAATGCAAGTGCTGGGGATATAGACTTGTATAAGAAATTATATAACAGGTAATCTTTCTGAATTCACTATCAAGAGTATAGCTGCTTGGACCATAATGCATTATTCTCTAGTTTCCATGTTGGGCATAATTTAAAAAGTGAATGCCGTTTTTGTTAAAAATAAAATAAAAAATAATTTTCTTTCTGACTTAAAGCTTGAGTATAATAGAACACAGGGCCTCCTGGTGGTGCAGCAGGTTAAACTGCAGATCTGCTGAACTTACTGACCGAAAGGTTCGTGGTTCAAATCCGGGGAGCAGGGTCAGCTCCCACAGTTAGCCTCAGCTTCTGCCAACCTAGTAGTCCAAAAACATGCAAATGTGACTAGATCAATAGGTACTGCCTTGGTGGGAAAGTAATTGTACTCTATGCAGTCATGCTGGCCACATGACCTAGGAGGAGTCTACGGACAATGCCGGCTTTTCTGCTTAGAAATGAAGATGAGCATCAACCCCCAGAGTCAGACATGACTAGACTTAATGTCAAGGGAAACCTTTACCTTTTATAATAGAACAGTCATTCTTTTCTGCCAAGTTCTGGTTTTTACATATGTGATGGGCAGTACTTCTCCACAGGTTATTCTGTTATTGATGGTGTGATAGCAGGAAAACAGAGGATTGTTGAGTGTAAAGGATTGCTTTAGCGCTCCCAAGCAGGATGGAAGGGGCCTTTCTGTAGATTGGATTATATTAAACATCTGATCCAGACTTGTACCTAGCATATATAGCAGAGTGGGATCCTGTTTAACATGGTTCGCTCTCAAAAAGTAAGGAATTGTGTATGAAATAATTCAAATCTGTGCATGAAATAGCAGACTTTTTTCAGTGGTTAAGAGGTCCTGGTTAAGGAACAAAGACATTGGTGACTTAGGCCCCATCTACACTGCCATATAATCCAGTTCAAAGCAGATAATCTGGATTTTATATGGCAGTGCAGGAAAGGCCTTAAAGAAGCAAATCAGGGGCTTTCATAGAAAAAAACATAGGAAAAAAAGAAATGGAATGACTGGATGATGCTATTGGATAGTGCTTTTAACTGTGAGACTCAAACCAATACATGTTTTTATTGTTATTGATTGTTTTATCTGGTTTTATATTTGAATTAACTCCTTTAATTGTATTTTATGTTTTTGGTGTTGACTGTAAACCTCCCTGTGGGCTGAGAGGGGCAATATATATATAAATATAGTAAGTAAGTAAGTAAGTAAGTAAATAAATAAATGAGTTGTTGTAGGATTTTTCAGGCTATAAGGCCATGTTCTAAAGGCATTTTCTCCTGACGTTTTGCCTGCATCTATGGCAAGCATCTTCAGAGGTAGCGAGGTCTGTTGGAACTAGGAAAAAGGGTTTATATGTTATTTAGATGTTCTTGTTTGTTTCCTCTCTGTTGTTGTGCTGTTCTAATTTTAGAGTTTTTTTAATACTGGTAGCCAGATTTAAATTTAAAGCCAGATCTAAAATTAAAACAGCACAACAACAGAGAGGAAACAAACAAGGACATCTAATTACCTCTCAACAAAAGATTGCTCCAGGCACTGCCAGGCAATCAAATGCTAATCAAGGTGATCAGTTGAAACATTCACACCTAGCTCCAGAAGACAAGACCTTTGTCCCACCCTAGTCATTCCACAGATATATAAACCCCTTTTCCTAGTTCCAGCAGACCTCACTACCTCTGAGGATGCTTGCCATAGATGCAGGCAAAATGTCAGGAGAAAATGCCTTTAGAACATGGCCATATAGCCCGAAAAAACCTACAACAACCCAGTGATTCCGGCCATGAAAGCCTTCGACAATAAATAAATCAATAAATGTAAGAGCTTCCTTCTGAGACAGGAAATTTACTCAGGATGCAAATTTAATCTAACCTTGTTCTAAGAGAGAGAACTAATAGGGAAAGACTAGGTGGAAAAACATCTAAGAGAATCAGTTTACATCACAGAGGAGTCATATAATAGATAACAAGAAGAAAGCATGCATTGTCTCATTTGGATATCTAACCCTATCAATATTGCCTTTTCTGAGGCCTCTTTGACTCTTCACTGCTATGTGTGAACATGAAGCTGTTTTATGGGTTCATTCATAGCTGGTATATTGCCAGGTTGGAGACTTTTTAGTCCTATGTTTAGCCTGGTTGCATTATTACTTATGCATGATAGACACATAGGACCCCACTATGCTGAAACTGGGAAGTAAGGCTGTTTTTGTGCACAGTATAAATAAAGTCTCATTCTGTTTCCTTGTGTTACAGCAAAAGGTGCTCATCGTTGAGTCTGGTATCTCTGCAATGCATAGGTAGGTGCTTAAATACTCACTTTATGTTTTTCTTAGTTTACTTGGTAATTACTGACCTACAGAAATGTGCAGGGTTTTTTTTTTTCTTACATGTAAATTCTGGTGATCTGACTGCATTTTAATGAAATCAAGTATGGAAACAATGGAACATATTTTACATCATTTGGAGTTTTGGGTTTCCATTCTTATAGTATGAATCACTCTGAATAGAGATTACTATTATCTCGTCTGTTAAACCTTTCTAAAATGGAAGAGGTCCATGTTCAAATTGAGGTAGTGAGGCTATGGTTTTAAAATGGGTAACAGTGCAGAATATTTGATCCATAGGACTTCAGCTCCTCTCAGCACCTCCCATTATTAACTAATGTTAAGAGAGAGCTGTAGTCCAGAACATCTAGTTGGCCAGAGACTTCCCACTACTATCCTAAAAAGAAAGAAACTACTATCCTAAAAAGAAAGAAAGAAAGTAAAATATAGAGGGAGACAGGAATATTAATAATATTAATAATATTAATATTATTATTATTAATAATAAACACTAAACACTTGAGAAGTGTTTGACTTGTGATTTTGTGATATGAAATCCAGCATATACATCTCATTTGCTGTATAATAATTATAATTATTATTATTATTTCTTACCTGCCTCTCCCTGTGGCTTGACTGTTTCTAAAACATTCTGTGAGTGTAATGTGAATCTTTTGCCTAACTCTGTTTCTCAAGACTGTGGCACTCGGCGTGTAAACCGTCGAAACAGAATTGTGGGAGGGTCCTCTGCCTCCCTTGGAGATTGGCCCTGGCAAGTCAGCCTTCATTCCAATGGTGCCCATCTGTGTGGAGGGTCTATTATCACTCCTGAATGGATAATAACAGCAGCTCACTGTGTAGAAAAGTAAGTCCTGAACATTTCCCACCAGGCTGTTTTCTCAATAGCATGCCAATCAATTGGAATTTTGTGTAGCAGCTTTGATTAGTGATAGAAATTACTGCTATTTTTTTATTTTTTTGTAAGAGGAGATGCTTTGCATTTAGTTATTTTTAATCCTATTGATATGGTGTAAAAGGTGTTCATTTGGTATGTCTAGAGAACAGGGCTGGCTCTGTCATTAGCTCAGTGGTTCTCAACCTGTGGATCTCCAGAAATCCTAACAGTTGGAAAACTGGCTGGGCTTTCTGGAGGTTGTAGGCCAAAACACCTGGGGACCCACAGGATAAGAATCACTGCAATAACTGGAAGGAGAAAATTACTTTATATTGCGGATTTGAGGGCAGGCGGCGCCACAGTTGCACCTGAGCATACCTTTTCGAGTCCTTTTTCCAGACCATCCCGTCCTCATTTATTGGTGAATAGAGATTTATGTGCCATACGGGATGTTTTATATACCTAAACTAAGTTGTGTTTCTCAAGTGCAGTGCTAGCAGCCCAGACATTAGGGCTGGGCGGTTTCGTTTCGTTAATTCGTAATTCGTTAATAATTCGTTAATTTTTTCAATTACAAAACGATAACGAACCATTCTGGAGCAATTATTAAAAAAACAAATTTTCAAAAACGTTTTGTAAATGCTTCGTATTTCAATATTGTATTCGTTTCGTTATTGTTTTGAGGTCGTTTCGTTATTATTTCCGCATGTCTGGGCCAGTTTTATGGTTTAATTAGTGAAAAAAAATTATAATATCACACCAACAGTCAACAACAGAGGGAGAGGGAAGCTTCAGAAGGTTTTGGAGGTTTTTTAGCGTATTTCGCTGTCGCGTTCGCCATTAACGAATCGATTCGTTATTGTTTCGGAAATCGATTCGTTAATTTTTTACCATTTACGAAATTTCGTAAATATCGAACTTTTTAAAAGGAAAATTTTGTAATTATTTTAAATATCGAAACAAAAAAACCCTCCAAATACAAATCGATTTTAGAAACAAATTTTTCCGTTGTTACCCAGGCCTACCAGACATGCCTGGCAAACCATGTAGTCAATGGTGCAGAATGTGTAACTCTCTGCTTTGGTCAGATACACTCGTGTGTTTTTGTTGACTTGCACTTCTCTACATGGGCCTGAAGACATTTACTCGTGCCACCCCAAAGTTTGTCACTAATTCTTTGCTTACTAATTAGAGTTCTACCTAGGTATGTTACTTTTGTGATAATGGTCTTTATATTGGGTGTTGCTGCTGCATCAAGATAGTTTGTGCTACAAAATTTTAAAAAGCTGAAACCACAATTACTGAGTTCTCTCTCTTGTATAGGGCGTTTTCTAATCCAAACTATTGGACAGTTTTTGCTGGGATACTGACACAGCCAGAAATGGTTTCTTCAAAGGGACATAGAGTTGCAAAAGTAATTCCTCACCCAGGCTATGATCCATCTTCTAAAACAAATGATGTTGCCCTTATGAAGTTACAGTCCCCTCTTGTTTTTGATGGTATGTATAAAGTCTCCTGTTTATAGGGCTTTACCTATAAGTCCTACGTTATTACAATCCTCATGCTCAGTAATATAAAACAATTATAATAAAATATGTTAATTTTTAAGAATAACCTGACAGAAAAAGATGATTATGTTCTTGTTTCTGATGCTGATATTCATATGGAACATAGTATGAATAAGAGAGATATGGGGCACACTGTGCCATGCTAGCTATTATATTCATTCTTTTCACTACTACCTCTCCATTCTATAGAAACATGAGGCCTGTAATTTGGCAAGATTCTTAGAATTAGAGAAATCTAGTGCAAACCCCTTGATTCCATCATTAGAACAAGATCCATCCTAATTAGCTCAATGTATGTTTCTCTACTTAGTATGCATTCTGAGCCTACTTGGAAAAATGTTACATTTTGTGCAAAGTGTTATTGAACTGAACAGTCACAATATAGCAAATGGCAGAGGGTGGAAATGTGAGGCTTTCTGGATGTTGGTGGACTGAAACTCCCATTAGCCCTAGCCAGTATACCTAATGCTGCCTCCAAATGTGGTGGCGTCTCCACTTGAGGTGCTTAAGCAGAAGCTGGATGGCCATCTGTTGGGAGTGCTGTATGGCACGGGGTTGTTATAGTGGCTCTTGTGGTTTCTTCCAATTCTGTGATTCTAGGAATATAAGGGATTATGGGAGTTACAGTAAGCAACAGCTAGTAGGTACCAGTTCCCTGCCCTTGCTATGTTTCTCTGACCCCCCCCCCCTTCTTTCATACACCTTGTGTGACTTGGGAGATAAATGCTTGAAATAAAGATAACACATTATATTACAATTACTGTGACGATCACACCTCTGCAATTATCTGCTAAAATGTGTATTTGGTGATTGAGAGTATTCTGTCTCATTTGAAATCTTCGCTAACCAAACTCTTTGGGAAATATTTTCCAAGCATTAGTTATGCCCATTTGGTACATACTGTTCTTGAAATTCTTTCATGTTTAGACAGTTATTCTGGGAATTTCCTATCAAGTTCAATGTTTGTAGAGTTACTGATTAACAGTATGTTTTTGCTTTATAGAATTTGTACGACCGGTTTGTTTGCCCAACCCTGGAATGATGTTTCAGTCAGATCAACTGTGTTGGATATCTGGATGGGGAGCAAGAGAACAAAAAGGTAAAATCTGATGCTATCAAAACCTGGATTTTTATAAATTATGCATCTGTTAATACCAAAACAAATGTGCATTTTGGTCTCCTATACTCAGGGAACATTGGGAAAGAGCATTTTTGGAAATAGTGCTATAAAAATATTTGAAATAGTTGGCTTTGCTGCTGTGAATGAACACAATGTGTTTCTGGTGTTTTCTGGAGCCTTTCCCACTAGCAAAACATGACCATATGGAATGCCAGAAGAAGAAAAACACTAGTTTGCAAATCATAACACACTGAACTTGTTGAAAAAAATGGGAGCAAAAAGCAACTTTCCCTTTCTATAGTTTGTACATGTAATGTTAAAAAATGTTAAGGATAGTGTTTATATAGCCTGGCCACACCTTTTTGCCAATCAAATAGCAAAATTCAGAATGATTCTTTCTGGAAACTGATTGATAAAAGATGACTCATTTAACACTTCATATCTGTGGCCATTCTCAAAACTGTAAGAAAAATAGCTTGTCCAAGGTCAAGGTATTTTGTTTAAGATGAGGGGCTGGTCAAAGTGTGTGTTTTTAGAACAAGAGAGAACAAGGCTGGAAGGTTTTATAAGGTGATGAACAACTCTTAAGGTCAAATTTGGAGCATTGCAACTTTTAAAAAACATTTATATCTACCCACTCCAAGAATGGGCAACTTCATGCCTTCCTGGTGTTTTGGGTCACAGTCCCATAATTCATGATTATTTGCTAGACTTACAGAAGTTCAAGACCCAAAACATCTGGGAACTTCAGTTCCCTGCTATGAACAAATCCAAATATTATATATAATGCAAGTCTCCAATAATCACTGCTCCTGAAAATAAAAATGAAATAAACACAGATACAGCAAGTAATTATCCCTGGAATCTCTTGCAGCTCCAGGAACTGTGGAATATGTTACTTTGTGCATGCTTTTTAAAAATTGTATTCAAATGCCTGATTTCTTTTTGAAAGAGAGATGTGGAATCTTGTATTGCCTTGAACTCCTTTTGTTTTGTTGTTGTTTTGTTCTTTATTCGTTCAGTCGCTTCCGACTCTTCGTGACCTCATGGACCAGCCCATGCCAGAGCTCCCTATCGGCCATCACCACCCCCAGCTCCTTTTGTTCAGTCTTAATTGATTACAAATGGATTCAGTTTTTATGGATGAAGATATTAATAACTAGCATGTTAATGGCTCATAATGCAGCACTCATACAACCGATAAATTCTAAGATATGTAATAACAATATTTTCCAACTTTAGGTACCACTTCAAAAAAACTGAATGCAGCAAGCATACGTTTGATAAGTTCTGATATATGTAATAACAGATACATCTATAATGGGCTCATCTTACCAACCATGATTTGTGCTGGCTACCTAAATGGAGGAATAGATTCTTGTCAGGTAACATCTTTCTATTTATGAATATGAATATGAATCACTCTGACTGTCACTTTTGCTTGTAAATGGCTTCCATTGAGGGTGGTGGATTTGAGAGAAGATCAACCTACAGTAAGAGGAGACCAGAATAACAACCAGAGTTAATATTGGTACATGGAACTGAAGGCAAGAGACAGCATATTTCTTCTTTGTGTCTCTTCAAACCCTCTCCCACTCCTATGACTTGTGCTTTAAATTTGAACTACAGACAACAGAAACAGAGATGTGTGTTAGCAAGCAGGACTTGCAATAAAAGGAGTGTGGTAAAGTAACTTGGAACACATTTCTTGGATAAATTGGAAATATGGGAACCTCTAGATTGTAGGAGGGTATTACTTCATCCCTTAAACAAAATAATTGCCTCTATTATTTTAAGTTTTGAAGTTCATTGAGGTAATTTTGAAATACCATAATTCATTTGTATAATAGTTGCCATCAGATAATAGTTTGTACTCCCTTTTTGGGGATCCCAAAATGATATTTTTGTTTTTCTAGTGCAATAGTCACACCCTTGATTTACCTGTCCATCTGTTCACCCAGACTCACATGCCTGTTTCATTCATTCACTCACTCACATAGGCACTCATCAGTTGCCCATCCACTCGCTGACCATCCCCTTTCAGCATTTTTGGAAGGGGGTGGCCCATAAATGGATGGGTGACTGAGTTCATGAGAGAGTGCATGAGTGGGAGAGGGGAGGGCAGATGGCAGGGTCTTTTGGCAGGCTGGCAACTGTATGGGTGAATCAGCAACTGAGTAAGGGAGTGAATGAAGTGGGCAGGTGGATCTTTGGGCATAGGGATGGGTGAGTGCTAAAAGGAGCTGGCAAAGCTGTTTGGATGGGGTGGAACGGTATGTACAGGGAACGCTGGAGAATGTTTACATCACAGAGGCTACCTTTCCCCACAAGTACTGGTATTGGTACAGGTAAATACCAGAGTTACTCAGCTGGGTTCAAGCTGAGAGTCATTGTTTTTACTAAGAAGCATGGAAATAAAGCTGCAGGAGTGCAGTTCTCTATGAATGATAAGTTGCCATTCCCCCAACTCTGTTTAAGGCAAATCATAATTGAGTGCACTGGCACCAACTGTCTGTGTGGAGAAGAACCACCCTATGCCATAAGCTGCCACTTGGTTACACTGAGAAGGTGGAAATCTTTCACCGCTTTGTTTTCTGTATGTGCAAGGAAATGCTATATCTTCTTTCCTGACCACCTGACCTCCCAATGTAGCGAGTTCACTCATCATTTTGCAGATAAAGTCGCTTGGATTTGCTTGGACTTAGACACCAGTTTGGATGCAGTTCCAGAGGAGATGACCGGGGCAACTGTTTGTCCGGTGTTGTGGGATTCGTTTCAGCTTGTTCAACCTGATGACGTGGACAAGATCCTTGGAGCAGTGAGGGCGACTACATCAGCTTTAGATTCTTGTCCTTCCTGGCTCTTAAAATCAGCCAGCATGGGCTTGGCTGAGTGGTATGAGAGGATTATAAATGCCTCTCTGAGTCAAAGACATGTACCATCCTGTCTGAAACAGGCTGTCCTGAATAACGCTTTCTTTGACTCAGCAGTTTTGAATAACTACCGACCAATCTCGAACCTTCCATTCTTGGGCAAGGTTCTGGAGCGGGTGGTCACTACTCAGCTCCAGGGATTCTTGGGCGACACTGATTATCTGGACCCATTTCAGTCAGGTTTCAGGCCTGGTCACAGTACCGAGATGGGTTTGGTTGCCTTGGTGGATGATCTCCACAGAGAACTTGACAGGGGGAGTGTGTCTTTGTTGGCTCTCTTGGACATCTCAGTGGCCTTCGATACCATCGACCATGGTATCCTTCTGGGTTGACTCTCAGGAATGGGTCTCGGGGGCACTGCACTCCAGTGGCTCTGTTCCTTCCTTAAGGGCTGTACTCAGTCGGTGAAGCTGGGGGATACCTGCTCAGACCCCTGACCATTGACCTGTGGGATCCCGCAAAGTTCCATTCTTTCCCCCATGCTTTTCAACATCTACATGAAACCACTGGGCAAGATCATCCAGAGTTTTGGAGTTTGGTGCCATCTCTGTGCGGATGACACTCAACTCTATTACTCTTTTCCACCAGACTCCAAGGAAGCCCCTCGCGTCCTTGACCAAGTGCCTGGTGGCTGTGATGGACTGGATGAGGGCTAACAAGCTGAAGCTTAATCCTGACAAAACAGAGGTCCTCCTGGCCAGTCGTGGGACTGGTTGGGGCATAGGGTGGCTACCTGTGCTCGATGGGGTCACACTCCCTCTGAGGACACAGGTCCGCAGCTCGGGGGTCCTTCTGGACTCCACTCTGACACTTGATGCTCAGGTGTCGCTGGTGGCTGGGAGGGCCTTTGCACAATTAAAACTCATACGCCAGCTGTGCCCATACCTTGTGAAATCTGATCTGGCCATGGTGGCCCATGCCCTAGTCACCTCTAGGTTGGATTACTGCAATGCACTCTACATAGGGTTGCCCTTGAAGACAGCCCAGAAACTACAGTTGGTTCAAAGACCAGCAGCCAGACTACTCACGGGAGCTGGTTACAGAGAGCAGTCAACCCTCCTATTCAAACAGCTCCACTGGCTCCCAATAAGTTTCCGGTCCCAATTCAAGGTGCAGGTCATCACCTATAAAGCCCTAAATGGTTCGGGACCTGCTTATCTCCCCGATCGCCTCTTAACTTCTGAAGTCACATTGTCAAGGAAGTGAGAGAACTTCTTTGTGACAATAAGACACAAGAGTGAGTGATTCCTGGTGGCTCTGTCTTGTAGCCACTGGATGTATCAGTGAAAACACCCTCTAAAGACCTCTTGTGCTGTTGGTACAACAAGAAGATGATGAGTGTGATCATCAATTGACACCCATGTAAATGTGAAGCGCCTGTCCTTGGAACTGATGGGCACATGGGCCATTAAGAGTTCAGACCTTAGCACAAAGAAAATAGTGGTTAAAAGTCATAGGTCCAAAAGAAAACATGATATATGAAGGAAAGTAGCACACAACAAAATTCAGTTCCCCAAACTTTCTGGTTTATATGATGAAATCAAATTGCTACCTAGGAGACATTTTTGAGAGAGGAGAAACCAAATAAGTATCGATCCCAACCCACAGTGGAAAGGAAGTATGCTGTGCAAGTGGAAATTTAAGAAGGGCCTCCTTTTTTATTGTACCCTTAAGTGTTGGTGCAATGTATCCATATGCTACTAAAGCTTTTGCAGTCAAAACAAACTACTGGAAACAGGTTGCTAGTTCAAATGCTACGAGTACAAACCACATTATGTTCACACTGATACCATTCTATTTCTTTGGCAAGGTACTTATTCTGCATTAGATGTATAAAGATTTCTGAAAAACAGCTCTGTCTTGTTGTTGTTCATTCGTTCAGTCGTCTCCGACTCTTCGTGACCTCATGGACCAGCCCACGCCAGAGCTCCCTGTCGGCCGTTACCACCCCCAGCTCCCTCAAGGTCAGTCCAGTCACTTCAAGGATGCCATCCATCCATCTTGCCCTTGGTCGGCCCCTCTTCCTTTTGCCTTCCACTTTCCCCAGCACAGTTGTCTTCTCTAGGCTTTCCTGTCTCCTCATGATGTGGCCAAAGTACTTCAACTTTGTCTCTAGTATCATTCCCTCCAGTGAGCAGTCGGGCTTTATTTCCTGGAGGATGGACTGGTTGGATCTTCTCGCAGTCCAAGGCACTCTCAGAACTTTCCTCCAACACCACAGCTCAAAAGCATCGATCTTCCTTCGCTCAGCCTTCCCTAAGGTCCAGCTCTCACATCCGTAGGTTACTAGAGGGAATACCATGGCTTTGACTAGGCGGATCTTTGTTGCCAGTCTGATGTCTCTACTCTTTACTATTTTATCGAGACTTGGACATTGCTCTCCTCCCAAGAAGTAAGCGTCTTCTGATTTCCTGGCTACAGTCTGCATCTGCAGTAATCTTTGCACCTAGAAATACAAAGTCTGTCACGGCCTCCACGGTTTCTCCCTCTATTTTCCAGTTGTCAACATTCTTGTTGCCATAATCTTGGTTTTTTTGACGTTTAGCTGCAACCCGGCTTTTGCGCTTTCTTCTTTCACCTTGATTAGAAGGCTCCTCAGGTCCTCCTCGCTTTCGGCCATCAGAGTGGTGTCATCTGCATATCTGAGGTTGTTAATGTTTCTTCCAGCAATTTTCACCCCAGCTTTGCATTCATCCAGCCCCGCACATCGCATGATGTGTTCTGCATACAAGTTAAAAAGGTTGGGTGAGAGACAGCTCTGTCTGGTGTAGCTTATTCACTCAGGTGGTTTAACTGCATGGAAATGTAGAATATATTTACTATGCAGATTCCACTGTTCCCATTAGTTTGGATGTTTCTGGGCAATGGTCTATCATCTTGTTTGTGGCATTGTAAAATGCTTTGCACATTATTAACTATTATGATTATATTGTACTATAGTTGATGTCATCATTAAGAATAGCTATAGTGGGAGCCAGCATGGTGTACTGGTTTGAGCATTAGACTATGACTCTGAAGACCAGGGCTCAGTTACCTTCTCACTTATGGAAAGCCACTGAGTGACCTTGGGCATGCCATATATTTGGTATTCTTTCAAGTCATGTCTTATTTATGGTGACCTTAAGGCAAACTTCTCAAAATGTCTTCTGTCCTGATATTATTACCTGCACTGCAAGCACCATGAGGAGTACATTCCAATCTGTAGATCTGCCAACTGATGATGGCCATCAGTACTGAAGCACCATTTTTTGCATTTTGCTTTAAACGGTGATTGTACTATACCCCCTTCTTTAAGAAATTCATTTTATTTAGTTAATATTTGGTATCTTGGTTATAGGTATATCTGGATTGCTTTCATAATTTCCCCATTTTAGCAGGAGTTTATTCACAGTTAACTATGATAAGATTGCCATAATCGTGTCTCTTCTTTTTTTAGGGTGACAGTGGTGGTCCTTTGGTAACGTTCAAAGATAGTTTGTGGTGGTTAGTGGGTGACACAAGTTGGGGAACAGGCTGTGCTACAAAATATAGACCTGGAGTTTATGGAAACATGACTGTGTTCACAGACTGGATTTACAAAAATATGCAGGTACATTTCTGTCTAATCTTACGTTTTGATCGTGTGTTTGATCTTCCTTGTCAGTTATCTGAATATAATGTTATGATAGCAGGAAAATACTTAGAGGGTATTTGGGCAGGAGATACAAGATGTGGCTCATTTTCCATCTACTAATATGATGCCGGACCAGAGACAACCCATGTCTCTCTTGCTTTGGGACAGTGAATACATGCTGAGTTTTATGGAGCTACCCCATGTTCATTCACATGAGGGGTGGGAATGCCAGTCAGTAACTTTATAAATGACAGGAGAATGGATCTCCATCAATTGCAGTGACTGCTTCCTAGTAAGTACAGATCTTCATAGTTCTATGTATCCCTTAAACAAAGGAATACATTGGGGTTATGAATACTCAACACACATGAGTGTTTAATTCTAGATTACACCTTTGTAATTCCCCAACACAGTTTCAATCCAGATCTCTCTTCTCTTATTGGAAGAAGAGGGCAGGAAAAACTGGTGATATCTTTTTATAACTAGGTATTAGTACCAGTCTCTTTTTTTATAGCTAGGTATTGGTACAATTACCACCACCACCACAACTGCTAGTGTGTACAAGAGTAGATGGTGGATTAAACATTGATATGTGACCTAAGAAGAAATCTGGAGGCAGTAGGCAGTCCTTGCCCATAGACATGTTTGTGCTTCTAATAGGGGAGTCAGCTAAGGTACCTGGTGCATTGACATTTCCCGTCTACCCTGGAATCCAGTTTGTCAACTTTTACACGGAATTGAGAGCACATTATTTGTTAAACATTACATTGTTTCGCATGGTTTATTATTGAGACGTAATTTATATAATCAGAATGCAGACAAAATTCTTAGGTAATAGTACTTCTCTGAGCAAGGAAATAGTTCATATATGTGTGTTCGTTCCCACAGCCCGCAACCACTACTTTGAGTTACAGGTTGCCAGATCCCAGGAACATAGAACATAAAAGGGACATTCCACAACATGTAAATGATATCCTTGCTTTTTCCCCCTTCCCCTCCAGCAGGCTAGGAAACAGTGTGTGATGAACCTGTGATATTGGTTGAATTCATTGACAATTCCTGCTTCGGCTTCTAGATTTTTCACAAATTTTGATGTTGGTTCTGAGGCTATACAGTCATAATACATTATATGAATCAGGGATGGGTAACTTTCTGGAACGAACAGGCCTTACTGGACATTTGCTTCTGGCACTGTTACTGCAGAAATCCATTGACAACTGCAGCCATGCTTTATGTACCTTTGTTTTAGGAAGGCACTAATGTGCCATCCTGCACCAAAATACACCCCAAGAGAACAAAGGGTGTTATTTCCATTACAGAAGGACTAGGAAATGGAGAAGGGAGGCTTTGTTGATTTGATGGTGACTGCTACTAATTCTGCAGCAGTGAGAAGTCTAAAGGGATTGCAAAACTAGACTAGGAGAGCGCCACATAAATGTTATCCACTCCTAATGTAATGTCCCCTTAAAAACACCTGAATTCAGTACTTTTATGGAAGGAGTTGCTGATCCTTGTTTTTATTTACAGGCAAACAGACGATGATAATGCTTGTTGGCCATGTGTCACCCTGTGGAATGAACAGGACCACGATGAATTGGATTGCCTCAATCAGTGGTGGATTGAATGAGCCTCCTGGGTTTTTAACAGATTTCTGTGCCAAGTGCCTTAAAAAACAATATCAAGAACATTTTGGTCCTCAACACTTCATATATTGAGTATAGCCTGATTTTTAAAATTAATGTTTTGATGCCATTTGCACCATCTTGGCTTTGTAGCATTTGGATTATTTTCTTTAATGAGGAGCTATAAAGTGGTTAACACCTCTTTTATCAAAAACTTGCTGAAGTTTTCATTCTGGGGATCCTCAGCCTGTTTTTATTTTTTTAAAAGAGATAAATCTGTAAATTGCTATTTCAACCTTTGTATGTGGAATGCAAGTATAAATATTTGCTGTTTTTTATGTTAATATTTAGTATATCTGGGCTGCTGGTTAGTCCAGTTCTCCATGGTTGGAGGAAATGACATAATGAACACTTTGATGGGTCAGAATCCAATGGGTGACATACACTGGTGGAACCTTTTATTATGTTAACATATGTCCTACGGTTTCTGTGGGAAGTATACTTACCTCTTTGCACAGGAAACTCCCCTAATACAATCCTAATTTACAGTCATTGATCCTGTTTCACCAAATATCACTGATAGGTGAAAAATACCTTATATTTAGGTACCTATAAATCAGTGGTTCTCAACCTGTGGGCCCCCAGGTGTTTTGGCCTACAACTCCCAGAAATTCCAGCCAATTTACTAGCTGTTAGGATTTCTGGGAATTGAAGGCCAAAACATCTGGGGACCACAGGTTGAGAACCACGGCTACAAATCATTTTGCTCTTTTCAGGTGTTAACTAATTCTGAATTGGATTGAATCGACCCCTTCCCCCATATATACAAATCAAAGATCAGATTAGTTCAGACAAAAGTGAGTCCTGCATTTCATTTTGTTGAAGGGAATGTTCCAGGATCATTTGGTGCAAGATTAATGAAAGAATAAAGCAACACAGTAGAAAGTTCTCCTGGCCTGCTAGTTGAGAGACACTGAAGATGCAATGAAGCTTTAAGCAGTAAACAAAGGAATAATTCAACACTGCCCTGCCTCCTTCCTAAGCAAAGGATACTCTTTTGGTGATGTTGACTTCTGCCTCTGTCAGTCCCAAATGCTCATGAACTGAAAAGTACGTCGGGAGGGGGTGGGGGGTGGGGATAAGCTGTGGAAAGACAAAAAACACTCAAACCATTGACTACCTCATTGTGTAAGATATTTGCAGAACCTGAATGTATTGAACATGGAAATGTCTCTTTTTTTATATAATTAATATATTTATATTGATTGGTTGTTTTAACAATGAAGATGGAAGAAACAAGTAATGAAATTTGATACCGTGAAATTGACAGACCATTTCCGCTTTCATTTCTATTTGACTAATTAACTTAAAGCTGGTATAGAAATGCACCTTCAAAAAAATGCCTGTTGCAAATACAGCTGCTTCAGGTTTTGGAAATGCAGTAAGTTGTATACTCATGTATCACGGAATGCTTACTTTAATCAAATACATGCATTTTACAGATTTGCTAACTAGTGATGGTTTTTAAGTCAACATTTTTTGTTTGTAATATGCATCTTATACAAAAAACCATGAATAAACTTTTTACAGGTTTTTTTTTTTGCTTTCTCTGGCTAATTCATATTTTCATGCCTATGGGGGGAAATTGGTTAAATCTACAAATACTATATGACTTCCAGATATTGTTGGTCTACATGTCTCAGCTGCCTTAGCCAGCATAAACCAGTGGGGAGGAATGTTGGGAATTAGATCCAATATTCTCTGGGAAGATGCACAATTCCCACATATCCTATAGGAGGGGCTTTAAACAGTTTGAGTGTGCAGAGTCCTTGCCTGTGAACAAATACAAAAAATGATCAAGGAATGAGGTCCTATGGCAGGTAATTTTAGCTTCTGATAGAGAGTCCCCTCAAGGAGAAAGGGTGGAATACAAATAAAGTTATTAGTATTATTTTACTGACACAAAAAACACAGTATGTCACATCAAAAGAGATATATATGCTGGATTTCGTATCACAAAATCACAAGTTGAACACTTCCCAAGTGTCTAAAACTCTGTGATGCGTTCTTCTGATGATGATGATGATGATGTTTCCTTTGCCCACAATCATTTGCTCTACTGGATGCTGTAATTGTGGTTGTCGTACTTTGGCACCTTTACTGTCCATAAGGATCACAGCTTGTGTACTTTTTTTTCTCAGCCATATACATTTTTCCTCTGATTTTATACTACAATTGGTCTGGTTGCATATTTTATGCCTGCATAGAATACAGTAGATCATAATTTTTCCCCATATTTGGTATTGTTTTGTGCCTTCAAGTAATTTCTGAGTGATGACAACCCTATTATGGGTTCAGAAGCAATCTATCGTACACCAGAACAGGAACACCTCTGACCTTAAACACCACACCAGCTTAGTAAAATTAGCAAGCAGTTTATTAAAGAATATATGTGAGCAAAGCAGTAAAAATGGTGAAAACAGTATAGTGCCAAAATAGAGGCTGGTCCATGAGCTTCAAGACACCAAGGACAACACAAAATTCAAAGGTACAAAAGCCGTAGAACAGGGCAGCATGAAAATCCAATACAAAGATCAAGAGCTTGGCAAAAACTTGGTACATAAAACTAAGAACACTTGGAAGCAATACCATCATGAAATTCCAACGTTGACCCAACTCTTTCCCATGCATCAATATAAAGCTCTTCCAGACCACAGAACCAAAAGGAAAGCATTTCTCTAGCCCTTACAACTAGATAAGGGTTTCTTATCTCTCTCTTCCTGCAAACACATTGACCTTCTCTGTGCCTGAGGACTTCGTCTCTGTTTACAAAAGCCTTAATTTCTTTCTTCACTCTCATCAACTTCTGCACCTGAGAAATCATCTTCAGGCGGTTTCTCAGAGAAAGACTGTGGAGGGTATCTCCCAGGAATGAGACCTTGTGAGTCCTCCTGTGACAGTCCGGGCCTCTCACCTGGGCTTAACTCAGGCCCAGGCAAACCTTCATCCCAAATCCCATCAGGAACATCATCCCCATTCCCATCATGAACATCAGACACAATCACAGGCTGAACTACAACACAATCTGCTTTTGCCTTTCAATAAAATGAGAGTGAGTGACTTGCCCAAGGTCGCACAATGGGCTTCCATGGCCAAGTGAGTATCTGAATTCTGGTCACCAGAGTCATAGTCCAATATTGAAACTACTACAACTTTCTGCCTCTCTTATATAGAGAGAGGCAGGGACAAAACCGTTATGTATCTCATGTCGACTCAAGTCTTTAGGGTCGTCCTATCCAAGGGTTTTCATCCCATTATTATTTTGTTATTTCGTTATAGTTATTTCACAAATGGGGAAACTTCACAGACTCATTTCTCCCCAATTTCTACAGCTATTGGGGTGGAACTTGCTACAATGGAAGAACACATTTACTACTTTTAGCGCACCAAATTTCAGAATGTTTTGCTTATCCATGGATTTTTAGGGAATTTTAAAAGTTTTATAAACTTTTTAAAAAATCCGTAAGAGCGATCTCCTTGAATTTTCCATACAATGATACAAGGTAATAAGAGGATCATTCCCCCAACTTTCAGAATTATTCATAGTACATCTATTGATTTTAGGGATTTTAAAAGAAGTTTTGACCAATTTTTTTTAAATGCCACAGCATTGAATGTCTCTCAATAGAAGAAACCAATATTAACCAAATCTACATTTGCATAGAATCCAATAGTTGGAGGGAACCCCAGAGGGACATCTGGAAGAACTACCTTCTTCCAGACAGAAGTGCGCAATCAAAACTCTTGATAGATGGCCCTCCAGCCTCTAAATTAAGTAATGCTTGCTTGCAGGGATGCACTTATTTATTTATTTATTTATTATTTGAACTTATATGCCACCACTACCCTGGGGCTTGGAGCAGCTTACAAGAACAGGCTAAAATTGAACACAATTTAAAAACAATTTAAAAACAATCAGAGATCAAAGGCCTGTCGAAATAGATATGTCTTACATGCCCTGCGGAAAGCTGATAAATCCCGCAATGCACGGACTTCAGGTGGCAGAGTATTCGAGAGTGATGGTGCCACTGCTGTGAAGGCTCTGCGTCTGGTTGCTGTTAGACGCAAGGTCTTGACACTGGGAATTTCCAATAGATCTTGGTCCTCAGAACGGAGGGATCTCTGGGGTTGGTAGGGGGTGAGGCGGTCCCTCAGGTACATTGGCCCCAGACCATGCAAGGCCTTAAAGGTGAGTACCATCACTTTGAAAGTGATCCGGTGCTCAATTGGTAACCAATGCAGCTGTAGTAAGATTGGTGTTATGTGGCATCTCATCGGAATTCCCGCAAGAAGCCGAGCAGCTGCGTTTTGTACCAACTTGAGCTTCCGGATCACCGACAGAGGAAGGCCAATGTAGAGGGCGTTACAGTAGTCCAGTCTTGAGATGACCGTAGCCTGGATCACCGTAGCTAGGTCGTCCCTGGACAGGTAGGGGGCCAGCCATCTAGCCTGTCACAGATGAAAAAAGGCGGTTCTGCTAGTGGTGGAGACCTGGGCCTCCATCGTCAGCAGAGGGTCCAAAAGGATTCCCAGACTCTTTACCAATGGTGATGGGTGTAGCGCCTCGCCATCCAGGGTAGGCAGCTGGATATCACCACTGCCTGGTTGACCCAGCCATAGGATCTCCGTCTTTGCTGGAATCACCCTCAACCTGCTGGCATGCAGCCATCCAGTAACGGCCTCGAGGCACTGATGGAAACAATCGGGTACAGAGTCCGGTCGGCCTTCCATCTTCAGCACAAGCTCAGTGTCATCAACGTACTGGTAACACTCAAGCCCAAAACCTCGAACCAGCTGAGCAAGTGGTCGCATATAGATGTTAAACAACAGAGGGGAGAGAATGGCCCCCTGAGGAACCCCACAAGACAGAGGGGACCTCTCAGAGACCAGGTCTCCCCTCTCCACTCGCTGTCCACGGTTGTGAAGGAGGACAACCAGTTTAAAGCTGTCCCCCTGACTCCAGCAACAGCAAGGCAGTGGGTCAAAAGATTGTGGTCAACTGTGTCAAATGCTGCTGTGAGATCCAATAACACAAGCAGCGCTGACCCGCCTTTGTCAAGCTGGCATCGAAGGTGATCCGTGATGGAGACCAGCACAGTCTCTGTCCCATGCCTCACACGGAAGCCGGACTGGAAGGGATCTAGCCCGGCTGTGTCGTCTAGGAATTGCTGCAACTGCTCCGCTGCTGCCCTCTCAATCACCTTGCCCAGGAACGAGAGATTTGAAACTGGGCGGTAACTGGAGGGAACTGAAGGATCTAAATCTGGTTTCTTCAGCAGGGGAGAGACCACCACCTCTTTTAAACCCTCTGGAAAAACTCCTTGCTCAAGGGAGCTGTTTATGATCTTCAACAGAGGGTCACGTAATCCCTCCAAGCAGGATTTCACCAACCAAGAGGGAAACGGATCGAGGGAGCAAGTGGTCGGTCTAGCTGCAGCTGTGAGCCTATCGACAGCCTCTGCGTCCAGTGGGATGAACCGGTCGAGGACAGGCCCAGCAAGTGGCCATGGAGTCTCAAGTTCTCTCACTGTATCAATTGTGGCAGGGACCCGGCGAAGTAGCAAGATCTTGTCTGCAAAATAGCTCTGAAAAACCTTGGCTGAAGGGGCCTGATCACCGCTTTTTGGGACGGTAAGAACCGTAGTTAGAGATTGAATTATTTTGAACAATTTTGCTGGGCGTGAGCTAGCAGACGTTATCAAAGAAGGAGACCCCCGGGCTGGCTGGAGGTCTGGGGCAGAGTGGTTGGCTAGCCACCCCACCCTTTCTAAGTCTAGCAGCTGACCAAACAAGGGAAAAGTTGCTGGTGGCCTGTGTGGGGCAGGTGATGCAGAATCGACAAGAATACTCCCATCACAAGGAAGATGAGCATGCAAAATAATCTTTGGACAGCACGTGAGTCGGGGAGTGGAAATGCTTGGGGCAGCAAGGAGGACTGAGACAGTGATACACTGACATGATGGTGATATTAGCAGACTCAGCAATATTAACAAACTCCCATCTTTCTCCCCTCCTTCTCTGATGTGTCTCAGTCTCTGCCTGCCCTCCTCCCTCGATCCCTTCCAGAGTGCGAATGGCACCTGCTCCGGCATGCTCTGGAATTTAAAGACAAAAAGATGGCCACTCCTCCCTTCTCTGTCAGCCCTGATTGGCTGAAAGGCATGCCAACAGTTTGGTTTTGCCTCTCAGCAGGAATGATTGACCCGTGGATTTTAATGTGTCACAGGGAAACATTAAAATTGAAATATAAGAAACAAAGGCATCTTAAGATTCGATTTCTTAAATTTTGGTGCAGATCGTGCATGTGCTTTAGATATTGTGTCGTAAGTATGAGTCATATGAAACTGATCCGACTTGCAATGCTTTCTGATATTTTTGCACATGCCTACTAACCAGCCTTACTCATATTCAGCTTTTAATATCAGAGGGGATCTTGTGCCTTGGAAGTATGTAAATAACTGTAGATTGCAAGTCCCATTAGTCCTAGACAATGCAGCCAATAATGAAGAACAGTGGGTATTATATTCCAACAATACCTGTTTAGTCCGCTAACTTTAAAGAAACAGCACATTTGGTGATGCATTATCTTTTTAACTAGAAAATTTTGCCAAATGGCTCCTTGCTTCAGTCAGACGATTAATGCGGTCAGACAGAAGCTGCCTCTGTTCAGCAGTATCTTTGTGCTCCTGGAGCAAAATGCTCAGCTTGTTTCGATCTTGAAGTAGTTGCAGCATTGCATTTTGCAGATTGTCGCCATATTTCTTGAGGACATAGAACTGGATAATGAGAGGGATTTGGCAAGACAGACGGCTGCCTGCACTCTGTAATGAGAAAAGTGACATAACACAATTAGTGATATCCACATATTTGTGATTCCCTTGTGAGCAGTACAAAAAATAACACTGCCAAATTTGTTGATAGGCCTGAACAGAGTGGATCCATTGGTTCAATGGGATTTACTTGTGTGTTAACAATTTACTAGATCCATTCCAATTAGAAGTAATCTAACCAACAAGATGGCAGCTTCTGGTTAAAATTAACACTGTTGTGTGAGCCTGTGCCTACACTGGCAGCCCCATGGATTTAATTTGGTTTTTAAAGGCAATTAATATTCAGAAGAAGGTTTGCCTGTATATTCTTCTGAAGTACAATCCCCAGGACCTGGTATTCATGAGCTGACTCCCATCCAAGTACCAGCCAGATCAGTTCTTGCTTAGCTTCCCCATGATATGTTCCCATTAGGGTTGCCATAAGTAAAAAATGACTTGAATACACACAAGTCTTACTACAAGAAGTTCCATCAGAAGGAGGGAAATGTCACATTTGCAACAACCATTGAAAGGGGAGAAGGATTTCTAACTTACATTGAAGTATGTTTTCAAATGATAAGTAATTTCTGTGATGGAAAGATCTCCTTGTGTGGGAATGCCTCCCAAATTCATACCAGTGCCTACGGAGCCTAGTTTTTTTTCCCCATCTAGAGTTCCAGAAAAGAACACAAAAGATTCTCCTTCTTTGGATTGCTCTTTTATAATGCTTAGATCTTTCCTGTAGACATCATCCTGGCAAAATATATTCTGTTCCATTTCAAACTGGGTTCTAATTATAGCTTCTGCTTGTGCTGCTTGTTTCTCCTTAATACCTTCAATTCTTTTCTGTAATAAAGAAGTTAAAATGTAAACAAGAAACAATAATATCTAACTCCTTGCCCCCTATATATAATACATGCACAGATATATATATATATATCATGAGACTTCCTTTTCACACAGACTGAAACACCACTTAAGCATTCCTCCCTTTGCAAAATGCATCCATTCAAGTCCTCCCCCCCCCCCCAATTCAAAAACTCAACAGAGATTAACAGCTCACGTGGCTCTAACAGGATTGAGGGGAAGGGGCCAGTTGCTAATATGATGTGGCAAATCCCATCAACCTTACTACAAGAAGTTCCATCAGAATGAATTCAGCTTGACACTACTTCAATTGCTATGGCTTAATGGTATGGAATTCTGGTAGTTGTAGTTTCATACAGTCTTTAGGCATCTTTGCCAAAAGCTGAAAGTTAATTAATCAAAATTAACAAATCCCATGATGCCATAACAAGGAGCCCAGTCAATTAAAATGATGTCAAATGACATTAATGATACAGTATAGGTGAAACCTTTGGAAAGAATTTGATTTACTTTCATTTAAACGTTCTTACCTTAGCTTCTTGATATAGATAAGGAAAACCTTCAAACTCAGCCCTTGCAACCTCTGTGAATCCTTGACGCACTATTTCTGAGAGAAAAAAATATATAAAGATGAGAATCAGTCTGATTAAAAGAAGGGGTTTTCCCCACAGCCCTTTATTTTTACTTATTCCTTTCCAATATGTGACAAGAGAGGTTGGACTTACCAGTCACTTTATTTAGTACTTCAATAGCAGGACGTTCCAGAGCTACAATATGCTTCTTTACAAAACTTTCAAATGTTTTGTAATTGATAAAACCTGGTAGCTCTCGCCCACGATACTGATGTTCAAATTTCCACTCCTCAGGACGGAGGGACTTTTCAACTGCAAAAAGATCAAATAAATACCATCATGTTTAGAGCTGGGAAGGCCTGGAGGAAAACCCTCAAAAAGGGGCAGAAAATATCTGTTTTTCCCCAATTTTTCTGGGTTTTTCCCCCCAGGCCTTCCCATCTCTAGTCATGTGGAATTGTGGGAAATGTAGTAAATGTGGCAAACTGGTTTGGGAACAAATAGGCTGTGACCCGACCATAGAGCTATGATGGCCCAAGTTTCAGACATTGCAACCCCACTTTTTGTCATTGCAGAGTTCAAAATTATGTTTCAACCACTCAATATTCCAAATTCCCTGCTAAACCCACCTTAGTTGTGGACCTGGAACAACTTCAAAAGGAGACCAGACAAATGAATAGAGAACGAGATGGGATGGGACAGAAAGACTTGAGCCAGATAGCAAGAACAGAAGGTTAATCTTTCCCAATGAAAACTGGCCTTCAAATTCTGTTTGCTGTCCCAAGAATACAAAGAAGTGGCTTCTTACAAAGCTCAATGAATAGCCTAAAAACACTTCATAAAGACTAATTGTTGATCCAGAAGAACAAAGCCCAGGATCAACAGTATTCAGGACAACTCAGGTTCACAATGCAAACAAAATTATTTCCCTTTTTAAGATTCCTTTTCACACTGTACAGTCTCTTTTAAAATTGTGAATAATTTTCAGCTGGAAACACCTTAGGTTAGAATCAGATGAATGCAGCTTCCTTGGAGAGGACTGTTTCATTGGCCATTCTTATGTTCTAAGGGAAACTAGGTCGGCCTCCTCTTCATTCTCCTTCCATTACCAAAGAACCCAAAAAGCCCTCTGATGTGGAACCAGGGTTGTTGTTGACCTGGGCTGTTCTCCCTCTTTTTAAAATGATGCATTGAATTGTATTTCAACCCTGTTCTTACATTTTCACTGTGTTTTTCATCTGACCATTTTTTTCTAGTAGAAAAACAGAATAAAAATCTAATAATCAAATTGGTACAATACTTTCTTTGTTGCTGCTTCTTGTATACATTTTGGACATATTTACAAATCAATTCCAGATCAAGCTCTTCTAAATTTGAACGGCTTCATACTTACTGTTTTTGCCATTCTCAACAACCATTTGGCCCCATTTTTGAAATTCTTTACGAATTTTGGTGCACAGCCTAGTATTGTCATTAGACAATTTTTCTTCTCCTTGAACTGAACTGCTGATATCTGTATTAAACAGTTGGATTTTCTGCAGAAAATTTTAAAAGAGGTAGAACAAGGCAGCTGTCAATATTGCCACAACAATTAAAAATCAAGTCGATATATGTCCTCCAGGAGTGATGCACAAAAATTCAGTCAACCAAGGTTCTGAATGCTAATAAAAGACAGACATCTCATTTTATAAAAAAACAACTCGACATTTGGTCCACAAGCTACCAAAACAAACACCATATTCTGGCATTCATATGGAATGTATGAGTCATGCTATGGTTCTCACCTGTAGATGTTCCATTTCAGATAATAATAATAAACAAATAAGCTTTATTTCTATCTCACCCCCTCCCTCTCCCCTCTCCCTATCTGCTTCTGTATCTGAAGCAGATAGACTTTTCAATCTGAAGCAAGATTTTAAGTGATTTCAATTGAATGTGCTTACAACTTCATTTCACACTCTCATGTGGAACACGAAAGAATATTTATACAGGACAAGGATGAGGAGGATAGGCTTATGTATCTGGCCCCACACTTGTGTTGGTATAACTTTTATTTGCCTTCATGTCAACTTCAATTTATGGCAACCCTATGAATGAAATATCTCCAAATCTGCTAGTTAGCAAATGTTCAGGGCTTCCAAAGTCAGGGTTGCGGCCTCCTTGATTAAATCTGCTCAGTGACGGATTAATGCATTTTGTATTTTTTTTTAGCTGTTAGGTTTACAAATTATTTTGAAATAGTCTTTGGCATTATGGAATAGAATTATCTGGTTGTAATCTGATGCATTTACATTGTAGAATTAATGCAGTTTAACACAATTTTAACTGCCATTGCTCAATGCAATGGTGTCCTGGGAGAAGGGATTTTACACTACTTTATTCAGCCTTCTCTACCAAATAGTGCTGGTTCTTCACCAAACTACTGTTCAAAGGCCTAGTCCCAGAACCATGATTTTAATTTTTTTTCTAAAGGCCAGGAGGGAGGGAGCAGATCTTACCTCATTTGGGAATGTGTTCCATAGGTTGGGGGGGGGGCACTGTCGAGAAGGCCCTGTCTCTCGTCCCTGCCAGACGCATTTGTGGTGTTGATGGGAGGGAGAGCAGGGCCTCCCTGGATGATCTTAGATTATGAGGTGGAATGTAGGGGTGGATGCGTTCGGACAAGTAAGCTGGGCCACAACCATATAGAGCTTTATAGGTCAAGACCAGCACTTTGAATTGGGCTCAGAGATGGACCAACAGCCAGTGGAGCTTGCATAGCAGGGGTGGGTGGTTAGTATGCTCCCTGTATGTTGCCCCAGTTAGTAATCTGGCTGCCGCCCATTGGACTAGCTGAAGTTTCCGAACCATCTTCAAAGGCAGCCCCACGTAGAGGGTGTTGCAGTAATCTATTCGGGATGTAACCAGAGTGTGGACCACTGTGGCCAGATCAGACTTCCCAAGGCACGGGCGCAGCTGGTGCATGAGTTTAAACTGCAAAAGCTCCCCTGGCCACTGCTGAAACCTGGGGTTCCAGACTCAGCAATGAATCCAGGATCATCTTCAGGGGGAGTGTAACTCCATCCAACACAGGCTGTAACCCTATGCCCTGTGTGACCTTTCGACTGACCAGAAGGATCTCTGTCTTGTCTGGATTCAGTTTCAATTTGTTAGCCCTCATCCAGTCTGACACAGCAACTAAGCACTGGTTTCAAGGTCTAGACAGCCTCCTTAATAACAGTTGGGAAGGAGTGGATGTCATCTGCGTACAGATTTGGATGTCATCTGTGTACAGATAACACCTTACTCTGAAACTCCGGATGATCTCCCAGCAGCTTCATGTAGATGTTAAATAACATCGGGGACAGTATTGAACCCTGAGGGACTCCACAAGACAATGGTTGTGGAGTCAAACAGGTGTCACCCAGTAACACCTTCTGAGACCAACCTTCCAGGAAGTACTGGAGCCACTGAAGAGCAGTACCTCCAAGTCCCATTTCTGCAAGGCATCCCAGAAGGATACCATGGTCAACAGTATTGAAGGCCACTGAGCGGTACAGCAGAACCAACAGGGACACACTCCCCCTGTCTAACCTACTGGCATAGATCATCTACTAAGGCGACCAAGGCTATTTCAGTGCCATGTCCTGGCCTAAAGCTAGACTGTGCCAGATCTAGATAATCAGTGTCTACCAAGAACCCCTGGAGTTGCAAGGCCACCATACGTTCCATGACTTTGCCCAAGTAGGGAAGATTGGAAACTGGCTGATAGTTGACTGATTGAGTGGGGTCCAGTGAAGATTTTTTCATCAGCAGTTTTATAACAGCCTGTTTTAGGCTGGCTGGAATCTTGCCCTCCAGTAGGGAGGCATCAACTACCACCTTAACCCACTCTGCCAAACCCCCTCTAGCTTCTTTTATCAGACAGGATGGGCAGGGGTCTAGGATGCATGTGGTAGGCCTCGCCTCTCCAAGGATCTTGTCCACATCCTCAAGCTGAACTAATTGAAATGAATCCATTAAAACCGGATAAGCAGATGCTCGTGTTACATTTAGTCTACTGATTAATTAATGTACTTTTCTTAGTATCTATTTTTATTTTGAAGTTTACCAGTAACTGCTGCATTTTCTCGAGTCAATATGTTTTCCCAGTTTTTTGTGGTAAGATTAGCTGCCTCGGCTTATATTCCTATTGGGTTATACTTGAGTATATACTAGAAGTGTATTTTTTGTAATAAACAATAATCGAACAGTAACATTTATACTGTTAATAAAAAGTTACTTGATGAATGCTGTGTGTTTGAAAAAACAGAGCAACAATAATATTATTTTTAAAATACAGTATTTTAAGAGCTTGCATTAGCATATGCATCTACTTACATTTGTTAAAAAATATATCCTCTCGCCTTCTGCTTCTGGCACCCTATTGCCATATCTGCGTATTTCATCACTTGCTTTTTGAAGCTGATAATTGATTTGCTCTTCTAAAGTGGGCAAAGATCTCTTTAAAAAGAAGGGGGAAAAGATTTATGTATACTGCCCTGAAAGAAGGAAAAAATATCTTTCATCGATCATTATTATTGTTTAAGGCGCCTGATGCTAATAAGTTCTTTGCTTACTTACTCTAATATGATGCACAAGTTCATTTGTAAGTTTCTCAGCCAATAAGGGAATCGTGGCTTTTTTTTCTTGTAGAAGCATTCTGCAAGGAAAGGAGTGGAAAGTTTGCTCAGAAAATAAAACTAATACTTCAAATAAGACTTGAGAGGTGAGTCACATTCAGGACTTTTGGACTGCTGGTCCTGAAGTTGGTCTGTATAACTGATGGTTGTCTCATTCACTTTCTAAGAACTAGTTTTTCATGCTGACTTGTAACAAATTTGAAAATGAATGTTTTTGAAATTCAAAAGCAGACTTGAAGGAGATCACCACTACCGTGAAATTCTCAATGCAAGAACATGATTTCCGTTATGTACAATTCAAATATATTTTCTATAGAAGGAAGAAAAGGAATAGGGGAAAGCAAAGCAAATGTGGGCATTAAAATCCCCATCTGGATTTACCAAGCCACAGCAACAGCAGAGATCATTCAGAAGAGAAGGTGGAAACATCAGTCTGCTGTGTGTCAGGACAAAGGAAAACAGACCTCTATCACTTCTTGGCTGCTGCCTGATAAATCCAAATTGAGGAACTTTCAATATCCTTAGATATCTCCTGCACTGTTGAATATGCAGTTCTGTCTGTGCAACTCTAGATTGCACATTCATAATTGCAATTATTTATTGTATCCAACTACTATTAGTTGTAAAAGCCTAACTCATTGTGTTGATCTTTACTAATAAGTTAAATTTTAAAAACTTTAAAATACAATAATTTCTAAAAAGATATCGGAAGTGGCCTCTTCCCAAAATACACTACTATTATTAATAGCATTAGTACTACTAGTAAAGTAAATGTAAAGGTTTCCCCTGTTATTACGTCTATTTGTGTCCAACTCTGGGGGATGGTTCTCATCTCCATTTCTAAACTGAAGAGCCAGTGTTGTCCGTAGACACCTCCAAGGTTATGTGGCCAGCATGACTGCATGGAGAACCATTACTTTCCTGCCAAGGCAGTAGCTATTGAGCTGCATGTTTGCATGTTTTTGAACTGCTGGGTTGGCAGAAGCTGGGTCTAACAGCCAGAGCTCACCCCACTCCTCGGATTCGAACCACCAACCTTTCGGTCAGCAAGTTCAGAAGCTCAGCAGTTTAACCTGCTGCACCACTACTAGTACTATAAAATTTTGGGTTACATCTAAAGGGTAAGAATATTATCAGCTGTTTTGCTGCTTTTTAAGCATTTTGGATAAGGTAACCTGTTACATATAATGATATTATTTTCAGTATTTTATTTCTAGGCCCCAGTTCTTCCATTTGGTCAAGGAACACAAGACTGTGCAGAAAATGGAGGGTTAAATGAGATGAGGTAAAATTAGATATGTTTCTACTGTTATAACTATGTATATTGCCTGTGTAGTTTTAATCAAATGTGAGGAAGTTGTGAAGGAGGGAGAAAATGCCACCTCTGACACGTCTCCTGTGTCAGTTCTACTCAAAGTGATGGTGCATGAACTGGTGCCAGTCCATGAGGTACTGGCCGTTGGTCTATGGCATGTTTCCAGGAAACAAAGAAACAGTTGTCATTGTCCATATTCTATATATACTTACCCAAAACATTTATGATTCTCAAAAAATGATTTCTCGTTCTGGATTGCAGAGGCCAGTGTCAGGTTAGATTGGATGTCTTGCTGCCCTCGGCATTTCACAATCATATATCCCTTTTTCAGGGGGATTATGATGTTTCTTAGTATTTTCACCACACTCCCTTCAGTTCCTTTGTCTATCAGATCAGGCTTTGTCAGAATTCCTACCATGAAATTTGAAACATGAGAAAATGCTGCACATAAAAAGGAGTAGAGGACACACACAACCCAATCAATTTATATCAACAGAAATTAAAGGGGGCAATTTCCTATGTCCTGGAAGCATAAGCCACATTATAGGGCTTCACAAAGTGTGAGAAATTATTTTCAAGCAAGCTAGACAGTAAATAGGCCTGTGACTACCATCAAAATTAGATCGCTAATAATAGATTCCAAAATAAAATGCATGCTTCTGGTTACATTAAGTTTTCTTCATTTTACCAGTTTCATGGGCTTCTGGTCTTGATTTTGACTAACAAAGTTTGGAGATCCACTTCTCTCTTCCTTTAGCAAGGTTTCTGCAAATAGTAGATGTATTTACTGTAGGGCACTTAATGGTGTTATGGGATCCCCCTTCCCTTCTTTTGACTCCTTTATTTCCATTGAGAAACACAGTTAATAAAGTTTCATTTTAATCTACATCCTGCCTTATCTCTCAAGAGCTAAGAGATGTTAACAATTAAATTATTATTTTTCCACCGAGTTCACAAAAGAGTTTCTAAAGAGAATGATTAAAATATTAATACCAGTATATTGGAATAATGTTATGTATCATAAAGAAGAATATATGTATAGCACAACATATTTTTAAAATTTCCATTACATAGTTTAATCTCATTTTACTTCCATTATATCTTAATTTTATTTTTTGCATAGATTTTTGATATGTATCTTATTTTATTTGAATTATGGTATGCTATATTTTTTTATTTTTGCATGTGTTTACATTGTAATATCCTCAGGAAAAGTAAAAAGAAATTCAAATATGCAAGCAAACAAAATACTGTAAAGCTGGAGAGTGAATAAAGAATTCCCGATGATGTCAAACAGTGGTATAACAGCCATGGGCTTAAAAACATAAAACTTTGCAAATGGCCTGCAGTAATGAAAAATGCACATGTAGATTTCATTGTGAAACATTAGAAGGCCAAGGGCGAATTCTCCTTTTGTTGTTGTATGCCTTCAAGCTGTTTCTGACTTATGGGCAACTTTAAGGTTACCTTATCACAGGGTTATTTGGGGTTGAGAGTGTGTGACTTTCCCATGGTCACTCAGTGGGTTTTCATGGCCCCTTACCAAGTGTTCTTTCTCCTTCTGGATCCACCTCCTGAGCCATCTTCAACGCCTCAGTTGTGGCTATATCCACATTACATGGAACCACCACTAAATTTATTGTCTCTTCCCTATCAATAAATTTTTTAATAAGCATTTTGATCTGCAATAAAACAAAGGAAGGAAAAAAAACCTCTTTAACAACCTATGGAGTTGGAAAGTTGAAGTTTGGTTTAAATCAAGTATTTGTCTATACGTAACAGCAATCCAACTGTAATTCACATCATTGGACCTTGGGGCTGCCCCAGATTCACCCCACTAGGACCATCACTACACCATACTGAAATTGTATTGCTGTCCATACTCCAAGTTTGAACTGGCATCATTTTTATTTCTTTCTCCTCCAAAGTGACTTGGCATTGCCTTCTTTTCTGCTTGGATCCATGACTGCAGCTGCCTTCATAAGCAAAAGGCTTCCTGCCAGAGTCCCACAAGGAAACTTACCATATATACTTGAGTATAAGCTGATACGAATATAAACGGAGGCACCTAATTTTACCACAAAAAACTGGGAAAACATATTGTCTCGAGTATAAGCCGAGGGTGGGAAATGCAGCAGCTACTGGTCAATTTCAAAATAAAAATAGATACCAATAAAATTACATTAATTGAGGCATCAGTAGGTGAAATGTTTTTGAATACTTACCTAAAACTGTAATTTAATATAAGACCGTTCAACTCTGATTAAATCATTATTCTAACCTTCTTCAATGTAAATGTGCTTACATATTCTTCAATGTAAATGTGCTTATTATTACATAATAATAAAAAGAGTAAAATAATAAATGTAATATAAATAATAATAGAGTAAAATAATAGAAATGTAGTAATAACAGTACTAATAGAGTAAAATAATAAATTAAATAATAATAAATAGAGTAAAATAATAAATGTAAAAATAACAAGAGTAAAATAATAAATGTAAAAAAAATAATAGAGTAAAATAATGTAAATGTAATAATAACAACAACATAGTAAAATAATAAATAATTTTGACTCAAGCATAAGCCAAGGGGGGCTTTTTCAGCCTAAAAAAGGGACTCAAAAACTTGGCTTATACTCGAGGATATATGGTACTTGTTTTCTGACTATTGATCAGTCATGTGATCAATATTGAGAAAAGAGTCAAACTGATCTCCTGGATTGTTGATCTCATGGCTGAGCATTTTGTTCTGGCAAATCATGTCTTCAACAGAGTTCTGCTGGGAAGCTGTTTGGCTGGCAAGGCAGAAGCAGTGGCAGCTCCAAGGAAAAAGGAAGGCAATGCCAAATCACTTCTGAGGAAGTTGTTTGGGAAGAAGGCAGTGGCAGTGGCCCAAAAGGGAAGGAAAGGTTCAGGGACTGCCCACCCCATAATTTCCATGAACAGAGATATGTCACAAAGCATACACTCCAGTAAATAGCATTGGACATGTTTTTTTTTATTGTGACCTTCACTACCCAGTAATCTATCCCATTCTCCTCCTACAATGCCACCCCAATCTAGCCTTACACATGCAGCAAACCATAGCAAAAGCCCAGATTTTCCTGTTAACTGCAGAGCAACAGGCTTTGTATATCAAATTATAGTCTAAAAGAAGTGCTTTTACTGCGAAAGAAACTACGCAGTGTGTTGTGATCAAGACATATAAGTGGCATGATTTTTTGTTATATCTGTGTAGATCAGCTCCTAGTGGAGGAAACAAGGCATGAGTATTTTGAGAATAAGAGCAGGCAGGCACGTCCAAGTCTGAGAGCTCGCAATAGGTAGCAAGAGACAAAAGACAAAGAAGAGAAATTTATGGAAAGCAGCCAGCTCTGCCAAGAGGCCAAAATCGTATGGTGTGACAAACACACTAAATCCTGATATAGACCAACAGTGCCATCTAGAGCATCCCGGGTTCAGAACCCCTTGCTTAGATCTCCTGGTGAATATTTGTTACTTAATCTCCAAACTTACTTTCTCAATTTAATAGCTCTGTCAGTTTGAACTGATAAGTTCTATCTGTAAAAGACGCTCAGAATGACTGAGAAAATGGACCTTTTTGCTTTGTGACTTTAATCACTTACATTAGATAAGGAGCGTTTCTCACAATAGTTTAAAATTACACTTAATGTAGGAAAGTAGTGAGGTTTGGTAGGTTTGATTTCCATAAATATCTTTGTTTGTTGCCCTGGGATCACAATGAAATGTGCTGTAGTCTACCAATAATCCTCCACCTCAATTGACACATTCTCTTGGATGCTTATGGAGAAGGCAAAAGGACACGGCACCTTTTAAGAAATATTGCTTGTGCTGTAAAACTTACTCCCTCCAAGAAGGCAGAACATAGGTAGGAATTAAGGCTGACTTTTTACATTTCATTTCAAAGTTTGTGTGTGCAGACTTCTCTTTATTTTTTTTTGTCTTCTAATTGCTGAAAGCTTTCCAACAGTCTCTTTCTATTTCACTTCACAAAGGTTTTTGGGAAACTGGACTAATGAAGGCAAAGTAAAGATACTTTAGAACGGGGGCTGAGAAAACCATGGCAATGAAACTAGATGCTTATGGAGAAGGAAAAAGGACATGGCACCTTATGCTACAGAATGTAAAACTGGTCATCCTTCCAGCATGCAAGAAAAATCCACATTTTAGAAAACTGTGCAGTTATACTTCCCCTACTGAATCATATCATTTTCCCAATCAGGCCCCAAACTCTTGCTCATCTTTTATCTGTTTTTATTACTCTATTGTTTATACCGTGAGCCTCTGGTGGCACAGTAGATTAAACTGCTGAGCTGCTAAACTTGCTGACTGAAAGGTCACAGGTTTGAATCCTGGGAGCAGTATGAGCTTCCACTGTCAGCCCCAACTTCTGCCAACCTAGCAGTTCGAAAACATGCAAATGTGAGTAGCTCAATAGGTACCGCTCCGGCAGGAAGGTAATGGCGCTCTATGCAGTCATGCCTTCCCTGTGTATTTAACTGCAGTTTTGTAAAGCAAAAATCAATAAAAATATTATAAAAAAAAATATGCAGTCATGCCGGCCACATGACCTTGGAGGTGTCTACGCTGGCTCTTCGTTTTAGAAATGGAGATGAGCAGCAACCCCCAGAGTCGGACACGACTGGACTTAATGTCAGGGGAAAACATTTACCTTACCTTAGGTGTTTATTTGTTTATTTATATTTTTAATGCAGCATTGAATTTTGCCATACCTGTAAGCTGCTCTGAGTTCCCTTCGGGGTGAGAAGAGCAAGGTAGAAATATAGTAAATAAATTTTAAAATAGTAAATAAATATATATATTTACCTGTTCGCTAATATCCGCTGGCTGGTTACCAACTGCTACTCTTGCAATCCCTGGCAGATCAATCAGTGTCAAGTCTGGAACATCTGGAGAACTAATTTCCAGGCTAATTAATTTATCACTAATCCCCACTCCTTCACCAGCTAATTTGTTTTGAGCTGGAAAACAGAACCAGGAAAAGTTTCAAGTTTAGGTAGACAACGTCAAAATTTCACAAACAAAGGTCAAGATACTAGAGAGGAAAACTGGCTACTCTTCAAAATCACTGTATAAAACACATTGGGAAATTGATACCATCTTATGACAAATGACATTTTAAAAGCTGGAATCTTTAAATACAGAGAGTATAGCTATTCAATTTCTATCCAGTCCGTCCAACAAGGTGATTGAAGCAATGTACTTTTGAGTGATAGGTGATCCCTCATGGGACAAGTGTGATTTTACAGATAGAAATCTTTCAATACTGTTCAAACTATCCTCTATGCCGTCGTCTTTAAGAATATACCTATAATGAGTAATGAGAGTGCTAGGAAATAGAATTGACAATACTCACCACTTCTTATTTCTTTTTCAACTTGTGAAGGATTTGAGAGTTCCCTAGCATTTTCCAGATAATTGATTTTCCCTTTCCACATATGACCAGCAGGTAGTTTCTTCAGCCTGAGTGCTAAGGGACATCTGGTAACAATGCCTGTTCAATAAGGAGACCAAATGTAATGAAATCATAGATTTTGGCCAAGATAATACAGAGAATTATACTCCACATATACATCTTTGGGCTGCTCCCCCCAAAACTGTTGTGAAGCCCTGGGGGCATTCTAGGCTAATTTACCAAAGTGGGGAGGTGACTGGGTACTACATGGCTGCATTTTTTGGATAGGGGAAGAGAAATCAGGCCACTCTCCAACGGTCTACCAATCTGCTGAACATCTGGGTGAATGATCGTATTTCCCTTTCCCTGGATGGATGCATACATGCAGGCAGAACAGAAACTACCCACAGCTCAAGAAGGAAATGGCTGTGCCAGCATCACCAGGGCTTGAGAGCTGGGTAAAGGGGATGTTTGAATATTGGACAAGGAGCTAGTGAGTAAAGTTTAATGTCCAAATAAAGACATATGAAAAGACAGTATATATTATTTATTATTATTTATTTATTTCAAATATTTGTACCCTGCCCTTCTCTACCCCCGAAGCAGGGCTCAGGGGGGCTTACAGCTGGCAACAATTCGATGCCTTCCATATACACACAGATAAAACAGCAATCACAAGATAGATAAAACATTAATATAAATTAAAACCATTTAAAATTGTGCAAATTCAATTAGTTGGCCAAATCTAAATCTGAGTTCTACAATCAACAACTTGGTCCGAAGCCTGTCCATAGTCCATTTACCATAGCATTGCCATCATTTATCAACCTACTATCCATATGCAAACACTTCTCAAAGATGGCTAAAAATTTATGCAGGCTGAGTATGAGCATCCCTTTTACAAAATGCGCGGCACCAGCAAATTGAGAATATACTGCAATATATCGGCTGAATTGCTGACCTGAAGGTCAGTGGTTCGAATCCGCAAGGCAGGGTGAGCTCCCATCTGTCAGCCCCAGCTTCCCCTGGGTAACATCTTTGTAGACAGCCAATTCTCTCAGACCAAACACAACTTGCAGAAAGCAAAAATGACACTATCTCTGTCATCCAAGTGGACAATTTTAGATTTTGGGTTTCAGAATTCTAGATAAAGGATTGTCAATCTATGGACCATGATGAACCACACTGAGTTCAAAGTTAAAATCAGCCTCTAAGTTGAAAGTTCAGAATACACGAAACCATACTGCAAATATTTGCAGGTAAAGCAAGGTGAAGATAATATGCTCGCAGTTGCTATAATGATCAAAGGTAGTAGTTTTTTTCTCCTAAAAAGACTATGGAAATATGTTTGTTTTGGATTCATGTAATGTTTCACAAATTTGCAATTTTTAGAAATTTCTTGACATAGTAACACTGCAGGCAACTTTAGAAAATATAAAAGCAGTGGATCTTTCATTGCAATAGTAAAAATATGTGGTCCTGTAGATGTTTCTGGACTCCAGATTCCATCATCCTTGGTGGAGTTGTTGGGAATTGTATAATAATTAAAGGAATGTAAATATCTAAACCCTGATTTGAATTATAATCTCTAGGTTTGAAGTTGCCTAGCAAAACCACCATGCAGGAAAAGATGAATGGGAATCCTCACCACTGCCCCTTGGAAGAGCAACTCCAGACAATGCTTCCAGAACAGAACTCTTCCCAGAACTCTGATCTCCAATCACAGCAATCGCAGGTAGAGCCAAATCCTTTTCCACGCCTAAAGCTCTCAAAGAGTCAATGAGGTCAAGGCAAGGACGGATCTTCTCTTCATATTGGTTGTATAAAGTGTTTTCCGGCTTCTGTTAGAATAACACTTCCGTTTAGTTTTAGGTATTCTTTAACTGTAATAAAATATTTGAGCACATTACGATGGCTCAAGTAAGCTCCCCCCTTTGATCCAGAGCACACAGAATCAACTGTATCAACATATATATTATGCAGTGGTTAAAGCATTTCACAAAAAAATTCTGGTGTTTATTTCTATTTACTTAAGAATATGTACATATTCCTTTACCGCTGCAAGAAAGTACTCAAAGGATTTTCAAAATTGGTAACGGTATCAACTTGCAACAAAGCACTCCAACATAAAAGCAACACAAAACATTTCCATAAACTAACATTATAGTAACCTAAGCACTGTGAAATAATATAATGCCACATGAGCACATAACAAAAACAGCAACCTACATTCTCCATTCAAAAGCCTTGAATAAATGGTTTGGACCTATGGTTCAGATCATAAAAATACTGGTGCCAGGAATTTTTTTTTGTATCAAAGAAGGAACAGAAGAAAACACTTTGTGTCAAATCAAATCACTGATCCATCTATCCCAGTTTGTTGGAACTGTTGGTCTCTCCCTGCCCTCTCTTGACTTGCTAAAGATGAAGATAAAAAGGGAGCAAATTTGCACCCATTCAGCTGGCACTTGAAGAAGTCCCTAATTTTTCCTCTATAGCAGAGCTTTCCAAATTGTGTTTTGCAACACATTAGTTGTAGGCCAAAACACCTGGGGATCCAGAGGTTGAGAACCACCACATTAGTGTGTTGCCTGCACCGTGTAGATGTGTTGTGTTAACATAAGGAGAAACCTCTGCATCTATATGAAATAAACAATAAATCATAGATTTATAAAAATATTTATGAAATGTTTTCATGATATGTTGTGCGTACCCATACATTTCATAATTACAATTTATGCATGTGTTCATATCTCTTATAAATGGTGGGTGTTTTAGCCTCTGGTTTGCTAGTAAAACTGAATTACTGTGTCATGAAATGATGCATGTCTAAAAAGTGTATCACCAAAACGAAATGTTTGGAAAGCTCTGTTTTACAGCCCTGGCTAAAACCTTGGCTCCAAATTGCAGGACTCCAGTTGTTACAGTACATTTCACATTCCCAATATGAAAAAAGGAGCATGGGCTTACCTTATTTGGTTGATTTTCTTCTAGTAGGTGATTTGAATTCTCCTTTTGTATGGGTGATACATTAAATGTAAAGGCTTCATTTCTCATTGGCATGAATGGGTTGGGCATTTTAAATCCCTCTGGGGGAAATTTAAACCCCTCTGGTAGGTGAAAAGCCACACTTGGCTGTTTGTTGGGAGGAAACCTCAGGGGTCTCGGTGGGTCACTCATTTCCTCCTCTGAAGAGTCTTCTTTACAAAGTAATTGACTGCGTCTATCAAGGAGAGTCAAACGCCGGCCACGGCCACGAGACCTTGACATTTAGCTGTATAAGACTTTTTTTTGTTTCCCCTGAAAGAACAATAAATATTTTGATGCTGCTACTTCTATAATGGCAATAAGAGGCTTTAAATGTGCTTTCAAACAGGAAGCTCTTTCCATTCACAAACAAAAAGCACTGCACTGTCATTTTTCCTTAACAGGTAAGTAAATAACAATAATGATGATGGAAGGAACAATGGAAAAGCTCAGAAGGACTGCAGAAACTGACCTCTAAAGTCTGATAAACTTTCATGAAAAGAACTGTAATGGAAGATGGCTGAAAGCAGTGCTGTGTTGGGAAAAATTAAACTCTAGAGGTGGGGCAGGTCTGGAGGTGTGGAGAAGGCAATCTTGTCTGTGGCAAAATGAAAATCACACTCCGTCTATGCTTTACCAGTCCCCACACTCTCTTGCCAGAGAAAAGATATGCCACGCAGATGATCAGTAAAGAATGGAAAGTTTACTCTTTAAAATGCAGAGCAACACACATATATATAGTTGTGTGAACAGTTGCACTGAATCATTGAACTCCACTATGACAAAGAGCCATCAGGACTTCCTCCTTCCTTTTGGTCACTGGCATTCTTTGATCTTTTTCTTTATGGTGTTGTAAAATACCTCCCCCACACTAGCAGTGCCTAATTTCTCTAATCACAGCTGTAAGCTGTTTTCAAACTGCTTAGGTTAACAGTAACCAGGGTTGACAGTCGAGTGCTCATGCTGACCTGGGGTTTCAAACTTGCAACCTTTTAGTTGGAAGATTTTATCATTGCTGGTGATTTACCAGCTGCACTAAGGCCCCGGCCCAATCACGGCTCCTCCTTCCCTATTCAGCATCACAGTTGAATTTTTATGATTTTCCTTTATTTTCCTGATTCTTTTAATTTAGTGGGACTGACCGGGAGTTGGGGACCTGAGAGACAGTGGAACATGCATTTGGGGACTTGGAGAGCCACCCTTTTAGCTTGATCTGTAGCTCCAGAGGGAAAGGCTGGGGTGGTTGAGTTTGCCTGTTCACTAGCTTTTCCCTCAAGCCCCGTAGTGACAACAGAGCAGTCACACCCTTAATTCACTTGCCTGGGTGAATTAACTAAGGGTGCGACTATTCCATAGGGGGTTATTAGTAAGGGGGGGGGGGGTTGTGTCGATTATGTGATGGTGACTATTATACAATGAAATATGGGTATATTTACATAGGCATTATACAAAATCCTCCTGAATCTTATCAGATGTATTACTGTAGATTCTCATTAACCAGAACTCAAGCAATCAGAACTCTCAGGCAACCAGCAAAGAAACTGGAGAAAGAATACTTCAATTAAAAGTAGCTGTTTGGATAATACAGCAAAGCTGTGTTACAGTAAGTTTTCCCCCCTCTCCGTTTGCTTTAAATTACTGTGTACCAATATTAATATGAAATCGTGGTGTGGTTTGGGGTATAATACGAGTTAGGCTTGTTTAAATACTAACTATCAAACAACCAGAAACTAAATTTATCAGTGCCTACCAATCTCCATGGGTGCTGGTTAACCGAGTCTACTGTAATTGTGGAGAGTATTGTATTGAAGCGAGAATGCTCATAGAAAGGTGTTCACTCCATTTAAACTGCACACACACAAAAGATTACTGTGTATAAGGCAATCACACTTTTTTTAGAAAGCCTTTTTCCTGTAAACAACTGGCTGAGGCAGACTCACCAAATACCAGTTCCACATAATTTGCAGGCCTGTTGAAATACTGTTCAGACATCTCAGCCAAAATTACTCATTCTGCCATCCTTCCTCCACACCCATAACTATCAAGTAGCAGTGAGCAAAACCACAATATATTGTCAAAGGCTTTCATGGCCAGAATCACTGGGTTGTTGTAGGTTTTTCGGGCTGTATGGCCATGTTCTAGAATAGACTGGCTCTTCCCTGAACCAGTCAGCCATTCACCAGAATTTCACCGGAGTCTGGAGGCCAAGATCTATTGATATGTAAGATTTTAATGTACTTTTAACGTTATTTATGTCTTTCAATATCTGTGTTTTAATGGTCTTATGTTGTTATCTATGTTATTTTAACAATGTTGTACTCACTCTTGAGTCCTGAGGAGAGTAAGAAATAAAATGCATTATTAGTATTATTACAGTGGACTCTCAGTTAACCGGCACACAAAGGGATTGGTAGATGCTGGTTTTCGTTTCTGATTGTTTTACAGTTATTATTAAAAATAGACATAACTGTATTTCACTATTAATTACTCTATCTCAATATTATCAAGTCAATACATGGTATGGTATTGTATAGGTTATAGCAGGTATGGGTAAACCCAGGCCCGGGGGCCAGAGGCAGCCCCTTGGGCTCTTTTCTCAGACCCTCCTCTCTCTCACCATCCCTTCCTTCCTTCTCTCCTTCCTTCCTTCTTCCCTCCCACCCTTCTTTCCTTACCTTCCTCTTTCCCCCTCCCTCCTTCTCTTCCATCCACCCTTTTGTCTTTCCTTCCTTCTCTCTCTCCTCCCTCCTTCCCTTTCTTTCTCCTTCCTTCCCTTTTTTCCTTCCTTCCTTCCTTCCTTCCTTCCTTCCTTCTCTCTTTCTTCCCTCACTCTCTCTATTCTCTTTCACATTCCTTCCTTCCATCTTTTTCTTCCTCCCTTTCTCCTCCTTTTCCTTCCTCCTTTCCTCCTGGGGGATGTTTAGCTAGGAGAAGATAAGGTAGACAGGGAACATGAGAACCATGTTTCAAGATTTTAAAGGGTGTCCCATTGATTGGGGGGGGGGGGACTGACCTTCTGCTGCTCTAGGGACCAGAGCACAAAGGAGCAATGGGTTCAAATGGCAGGGGAAAAGATTTGCCTGAATAGATTAGGAAGAACTTTCTGGACAGTGGCATAAGCAGCCTCAGAGTGTGCTAGAGTCTCCTTCTCTGGAGGCTTTTCCGCAGAATCTGTCGGGAGTGCTTTGATTATGTCTACCTGCATGGCAGGGGGTTGGATGGGATGCCCCTTGGGGGTCTCTTCCAGCTCTAGGATTCTATATCAGGAATAGGCAATACAGCCTCATGGATATTCTTTTCGTCCCCCGTCCACCATCTTATCCTGGCCAAGGTCAATCCTTTTGGGATCCCAACTTTTTCTATCTTTCCTTCACTTTCTGCTTTCAAAAGAGAAGAGGAAGGGGAGGAAAGGGCAGGGAAGGGGCTTGGGGAGAACCCCCTTTCTCCTGGTCCACCCACCCCATTCCAGTCTGCCATGTGACCCCCAAGTTAGAAAGTTTGGGTTATAGTATATCATAAACTCTGTATTGACTTGATATAGTATACCCCATACTATACCATACAACAAACTGTTGACTTGATATTAATACTGACAAATAAGGACCAACTTATGTTTTAGTGTTCTACTATATTATAAAAACAGCTTAAAATTACAATATTATTTCTTGGTGTGCAGTTGAAGGCTTTCATGGCTGGAATTACTGGGTTGGTGTGAGTTTTCCGGGCTTTATGGCTATGTTCCAGAAGCATTTTCTCCTGATGTTTTGCCCACACCTCAGGGTTTTTTGCCAATTGTTTGAGTTTTGGTTGCTTGGCTTCCAATTAACTGGGCAACAGCTGTATTAGTTTTATCTTGACTATTAAGAACATTTCAGGGAGCTGTGCATGTTTTCACCCATGAAGGAACAGATTTCAAGGTGATAGGATAACCATCTTTAAATATCTGAAGCCATAAGGAAGACAGTGCCAGACCATTTTTGAATACATGGCTCCTCTGCGACACTGGCATGAGATACCTAAGGAAAGCCATCTTAGTGGCCATCTACAGTGAACAATTAGTGTCGTTTGACCCCACTTTACCTGCCATGGCTCAATGCTATGGAAACCTGGGAACTGCAGTTTGGTGTGGCATCTGTCCTCTTTGGCAAAGAAGGGTAAAGAACTTGTAAAGCTACAACTCTCAGTATTTCGCAGCATTGAGCCATGGATTCGAGGGGTGTTAAACTGCATTCATGCACCAGTGTAGAGCAGTGGTTTCCCAACCTGTGGTCCGTGGACCACCAGTGATCTGCAAGAACTAAAATATGGTATGCGACCTCACCGTTACTACACGGTTACGACAAGAGCAACTGGTCTTGCAAAACCCTTTTATAGTGCTGAGGCTTATGAAATATGGTTTTCTGTGGGCGAGCAGATGGCGACTACTGGATGGCATATGTTCCGTATCAGAAACTAGAGATGATGTGGTCTATCCAATGCAATTTTCTGAATCAGCACCCCAAATAACCAAACCAAGTCCCCTTCCACACAGCTGGATAAAATCCCACATTATCTGCTCTGAACGGGATATATGTCAGTGTGGATTCAGATAACTCAGAGCCCTTCCACACAGTCCTACATCCCAGAATGTCAAGGCAGGAAATCCCACATTATCTGAGTGTGGACTCAGATAACCCAGTTCAAAGCAGATATTGTGGGATTTTCAGCTTTGATAATGTGGGATATAAGGCTGTGTGGAAGGGACCTCAGTTCAAAGTAGATATTGTGGGGTTTTCCACCTTGATATTCAGGGTCATATGGCTGTGTGGAAGGGCCCTTAATCTAAAGTTGACCAAAAACTGATTTGTAACCCTTTTGGTACTAATGTTGGAGAGTGGTCCCTGGTCAAGCGGACCCTGGTCAAAAAAGATTGGGACTCATACTGGAGTAGAAGCACTATACTGTAGATCCAACCCATTTAGGAACCCTCCCCCCACCCCTCACAAAAAGATGCCCATCCGACCTCTGTTTCAAGACCTCCAAAGATGCACCAATGTGGTGTTTCCAAATAATTCTGGACGGATTGTTGTGTTTTATCTCAGGGAACAGAAATGTTTTGAAAGTCTATTAGAACAGTTAACCCTTCTTTCTGACTGTTTACTCTTCACTCCCGCAAAGCAACCTTACTGCAGAATTAATGCAGCTCATGACTCAATGCAATGGGATCCTGGGAGTTGGCAGTTTGAGGAGGCACCAGCACTTTTGGGGAGAGAAGGCTCAAGGCTGTGCAAAACTATTTTATTCACCACACTAGAGAAAAAAATCCACTTTAAATTCGGTTTCTGCCTCCTGCAGAATTCTGGAGTTTGTAGTTTAGTGAGACTGTTAAAGGTTCCTCCCTAAACTACAAACCCCAGAATTCTGCAGGAGGCAGAAACCGGATTTTAAGTGGATTTTTTCTTCTAGTGTGATGAGATCCCATAACTGGCAGGATTCCATAGCACTGAACCATGCAGTTCAAGTGGGGTCATTCTGCACTGAGCCTACAGTGTAGATGTACGTCTTGTTTTCAAAGTCGTGGGGAAGCCCTTCCTTGCCACTTCTGTTCAAAACGAGGGAGAGAGAAAAACACTCACCTTCTTGAAACGCCCAAAAGGGATGGCTGCTGGCGTCGCCTGTCCTGGGATGCTTAGCCCAGATCTGCCTTCCCTGCTCCCTCGAAGAAAACGAAACCGAAGCGAGGAGGGCGAGGCTTGTTTCTTTCCCCCAAACGCTGACGGTGGGGGTTGCTGAGCTCTGGGACTAAAGCCGGGGAAAAAGAAACTCAAAGCAAGCAAAATTGGCCTTGAAGAACTGAAAGTGCGAGAAGGAGCTGTCCAGTTCCACCGCAATCAGAGCTTCTTTCCCTCCCTTACTTACTTACTTACTTAGGCGATCCCTCGTTGGACGAGTAAGATGGTCTTCCATTATGGATTTCCTTGTGGGTCCGTATGTGGCTGTGGAGCCCTATTCTTGCTCTGCATCTTCTTCCGCAGTGAGGGCATTGGTTTCCAGGTGGAAGGCGGTCCCGGTCGGGGTTGGCTTGACGCGCCTTCCTCCTGGCACGTTTCTCTCTTTCACCCTCCACTCGTGCCTCCTCAAATTCTGCAGCACTGCTGGTCACATCTGTCCTCCAGCTGGAACGCTCAAGGGCCAGGGCTTCCCAGTTCTCAGTGTCTATGCCAGAGTTTTTAAGGTTGGCTTTGAGCCCATCTTTAAATCTCTTTTCCTGTCCACCAACGTTCCGTTTTCCGTTCTTAAGTTCGGAGTAGAGCAACTGCTTTGGGAGACGGTGGTCAGGCATCCGGACAACATGGCTGGCCCAGCGGAGTTGATGTTGGAGGACCATCGCTTCAATGCTGGTGGTCTTTGCTTCTTCCAGCACACTGACGTTTGTCCGCTTGTCTTCCCAGGAGATTTGCAGGATTTTCCGGAGGCAGCGCTGATGGAATCATTCCAGAAGTTGCATGTGACGTCTGTAGACAGTCCAAGTTTCACAGGCATATAGCAGGGTTGGGAGGACAATAGCTTTATAAACAAGCACCTTGGTCTCCCTACGGATGTCCCGGTCCTCAAACACTCTCTGCTTCATTCTGGAAAATGCTGCACTTGCAGAGCTCAGGCGGTGTTGTATTTCAGCGTCAATGTTGACTTTGGTGGAGAGGTGGCTGCCAAGGGAGCGGAAATGGTCCACATTTTCTAATGTTACACCATTAAGCTGTATTCTGGCATTGGAGAGGGATTGGCTGGTTGACTGCTGAAACAGCACCTTGGTTTTCTCAATGTTCAATGACAGGCCAAGCTTCTCGTATGCTTCTGCAAAGGTGTTTAGAGTGGCTTGTAGGTCTTCTTCTGAATGCGCACAGACGACATTGTCATCAGCATACTGGAGTTCTATAACAGATGTTGTAACCTTGGTTTTGGCTTTCAGTCTGCTGAGGTTGAATAGCTTGCCATCTGTCCGATAGATTATTTCCACTCCGGTGGGAAGCTTCCCATCAACAAGGTGAAGTATCATAGCGATGAAGATGGAGAATAGAGTTGGGGCAATAACACATCCCTGTTTGACACCTGATTCCACCTTAAATGGGTCACTTTGGGAGCCACTGCTGTCCAAGACTGTTGCCATCATGTCATCATGGAGGAGCCGCAGGATGTTCACAAATTTGTTTGGGCACCCGATTTTGTGGAGGATGGTCCAGAGAGCGCTGCGATTCACTGTGTCGAATGCCTTTGCAAGGTCGATGAATGCCATGTACAGAGGTTGGTTTTGTTCCCTGCATTTTTCTTGGAGCTGTCGTGCAGTGAAGATCATGTCCACGGTTCCTCTGGAGGGGCGGAAGCCGTTCTGGGATTCTGGGAGGGTGTCTTCTGAGAGGGGCAGAAGGCGGTTTGCAAGGATTCTTGCGAGGATTTTCCCAGCGGAGGTTAGAAGGGAGATACCTCCCTGCCCCCCCCCTCCTCACATCTGGGTGCAGGCATGTAGCGGGAGGAGGGCTTGGGGAGCTTGAGCCCCCCCCCCGAAATTCTCATGGTGGTCCGCGAGAAGGCCTTACTGGTGCATTATTTAAACTGTTATGTTTATTCATATCATGATCTGATCACCATTCTCAATATATCCCATATGCTTGGGGGTATTGGGGTAACGATACAAAAAGTTTGCTAGGATACACCCTCTTTCACTCAGACTCAGCCCCCCCCCCCCCCCCCCCCCCCGAATCAAAATCCTGGCTACGGGCCTGCCTGGGTGCATCCACACTGGGGAATGAATGCAATTTGGCACCCCTTGAACTGCCATGGCTCCATGCTATGGGATCCTGGGAGTTGTAGTTTTAACAAGGTCTTCAGCCTTCTCTGCCAAAGATCCTCAAAGTGCAACTCACCTAGATTCCATAGAATCATAGAATTATAATGTTGTAAGAGACCTCATGGGCCACCCAGTCTAACCCCTTGCCAAGAAGCTGGAAAATCGCCTTCAAAGCACCCCTGACAGATGGCCATCCAGCCTCTATTTAAAAGCCTCCAAAGAAGGAGCCTTCACCACACTCCACAGCAGTGAGTTCCACTGCTGAACAGCTCCCATAAGAAGTTCTTCCTAATGTTCAGATGGAATCTCCTTTCTTGTAGTTTGAAGCCATTATTCCGCGTCCTAGTCTCCAGGGCAGCAGAAAACAAGCTTGCTCCCTCCTCCCCATGACTTCCTCTCACATATTTCTACATGGCAGTCATGTTTCCTCTCAGCCTTCTCTTTTTCAGGTTAAACATGCCCAGATCTTTAAGCCACTCCTCATAGGACTTGTTCTCCAGACCCTTGATTGTTTTAGTCGCCCTCATTTGGACACATTGGAATGTCAACATTTCCCTTCAATTGTGGTGCCCAGAATTGCACACAGTATTCCAGATGTGGTCTGATCAAGGCAGAAGACAGGGGTAGCATGACTTCCCTGGATCTAGACACCATTGGCTTTTTTTTTTTGCCACGGCATCACATTGTTGGCTCATGTTTACCTTGTTGTTCACAAGGACTCCAATATCTTTTTCACACATACTGCTCTCGAGCCAGGCACCCCCCATTCTGTATTTTTGCATTTCATTTTTTCTGCCTAAGTGGAGTATCTTGCATTTGTCCCTGTTGAACTTCATTTTGTTAGTTTTGGCCCATCTCTCTAATCTGTTAAGATCATTTTGAATTTTGCTCTTGTCTTCTGGAGTATTAGCTATCCCTCCCAATTTGGTGTCGTCTGCAAACTTGATGATCATGCCTTCTAACCCTTCATCTAAGTCATTAACAAAGATGTTGAACAGGATCGGGCCCAGGACTCTGCTCGTCACTTCTTTCCAAGATGAAGAGGAAGCATTGGTGAGCACCCTCTGGGTTTGTTCGCTTAACCAGTTACAGATCCACCTAACCGTATTTTTACCTAACCCACATTTGACTAGTTTGTTTGCCAGAAGATCATGGGGTACCTTGTCGAAGGCTTTACTGAAATCCAGATACAGTACATCCACTGCATTTCCCGCATCTACCCAGCTTGTAACTCTATAGTGTGGAGCCATGGTGGCTAAAGTGGTTTCACACTGTATTAATTCCCAAGTTTTGGAACTCTGGGTGTTTTGGATTTCAACTCTCAGAAATCTCATCCAGCTTGCCAGCATTTATGATCTGTGGGGGCTGAAGACCAAAACACCCGGAGGCCCAAAAATTGGGAACCACTGGTGTAGGTGCACCTAGGGCCCTTCCATACAGCCCTATATCTCAGAATATCAAGGCTGATGACCCAGTTCAAAGCAGATGTTGTGGGGATTTATGCCATGATATTCTTGGACATAGGGCTATGTGGAAGAGCCCTCAGATAACCCAGTTCAAAGCAGATATTGTGGGGATTTTTTTCTGCATTGATATTCTGGGATATAGGATGGTGTGGAAGGGCCATATAATTCAGTCCACACTGCCATATAATTCAGTTCAAAGTAGAAAATGTGGGATTTTATTCAGCTGTGTGGAAGGGGCCCCAGAGTTAATGCTTTCAGGTGAACTGGTGAGATTTTTAGAGCTAGATGATGACCCATCAATCAAATAAGCACATGCTTAGGGCATCAAGGGTTTGGAGGCACAACCAAAACTTTCCATTGCCAGATTTACCAGGGGAGGACATACGGTGCCAAACTACCAATGTTGCCACTCAACCTGGATCCACAAAAAGGAGCTCCACTAATCCAAAGACTAGGAGAAAGCTTTTCAAATATAAAAAGGAAGTATACAAAAATAAACATGATTTTCCATCCTACTGTAAGTTTGGTTTCATTTCAAAAAATAAGATTTTATTTTATGGTTTGTTATTGCTTATATTTCGAATCAGATATATACAGGGGTACCAAAATCTCTTAAGTGCATAAAGGTAAAGGTAAAAGTTTCTCCTTGACATTAAGTCTAGTCATGTCCAACTCGGGGGGTGGGGGTGGTTGTGCTCTCATCTCCATTTCTAAACTGTTTAATTACTGTTTTTAATATTTTTAATGTATTGCCAATTGTTTTATGATGCCAGCATCCAATGATGCTTTTGTGAGGCCACCATGAGTCCCCCCTCGGGGGGTGAGAAGGGCGGGGTAAAAGTATAGAAAATAAATAAATAAGCCAAAGAGCTGGCATTGTTCATAGATACCTCCTAGATCATGTGGCTGGCATGACTGCATGGAGTGCCATTATCTTCCCGCTGGAGCAGCACCCATTGATCTACTAACATTTGCATGCATAGAGCCTCTAAAAGTCTTGATCTGCCCTGGTGGTTTCTGAAAGAGATCCCCCCTAGTTAAGGGCAAATGAAAACATTGTGCCTGCAATAGGAAATTGGATCCCACAAATGACATTTTCCTTTTAGCCCCAAACCTCAGAGAGTGGAGAGAGAGATGCTGATAACCATGAAGACTGAGAATATGGTCCACTTGTCATATTCACATTTCCTTAGGAATAAAATGTCTTGATTCCCTGTATTGGGAGAAAGGCTGGATAAAAAGTGTGAATACAACTTGCCATTGTTGTGTGCCTCCAAGTTGTTTCCGACTTATGCAGACCCCACGGTTAGCCTATTGTAAACAATGGGGTTCAGAGAATGAAGAACTAGGGGGCCCATAAGAAATAAAGTATCACTATCAAATAACAGCGAGGTTGTGCTATTTTCCTTTAAAAGTCTCCTAGATAACT